CGCCGCGCATCTGCTCGTTTATTTGGATCGCCGGCCTCACCCTCATAAACCCCTTTCGTGTGTCAAGGTATAACATTCAATCCTTTTTCCTTTCTCTCGCGCGCTTTCGCGTTTTTGGGTCGCTTTACGACGTTTTTAAACCGTCCGCGCGACAAACCGTGCACGTGTGTGTGTCTGTTGTGTGTGTGTGTGAGTGTGTGTGTGTGTGCGTGTGTGCACCCCATCGGCCCACATCCCTCATTTGGCAGAGAAGGGTGCAAGAGTGCACAATGCGTGGACAAAGGGGTGGCAACCCTTTTCCCGATTTGGGGAAACTGCGCGACCCTCCGTCTTTCTCTCTCTCTCTCTCTCTCTCTCTCTCTCTCTCTCTCTCTCTCTCTCTCTCTCTCTCTCTCTCTCTCTCTCTCTCTCTCTCTCTCCGTCCCTCTGCAGCGCGTCATTGCCGCGATGCCTCGCTGATGCCTCCGCGTCTTTGTGCTCCGGCTCCAAAACGCCAAAGATTTAGCAGCTAATCTTTTCTTTCCCCCTTTTTTTGTTATTATTATTTTTCTACTTTTTTTTTCGGCGAACGGGGGAAATGGTATCATTGGGCGTCGCTATCGAGCCCGACGGCGCGCGGATAAGAACGGAAACATGCAATAAAAATTTGAAGCTGTGTGTGCGTGTGCGCGTGTGTGTGCACTGTGGAAAGTCGGCGACCCCGCGACGCGGCCTGCGCGCGACAGGCAGATGTTTTCCCCAAATCGGGGGAAAATGAAAATTATTGACAATGACTGCCGGATGCGTCAAAGGGGTCCGGGCCGGCCTCGGCGACGTCGACGGCGGCCTTCCCCGCGCCCGTCCGCCTGCAGGCCGTGCCGGCCGTGCGCTGGGGGACGCATACGGGGGAGATCAATAGTTAATACTCGGTGTAGTGCAGCCCAGCCAGTGTAGCGGACACGGCACCGTTTCTCTCCATTTCCATGATAATGTGCATTTGGCGTCCGGCGCATGCATTCGCCTGCATTTGCCCGTGCATTCCTCGGCGGCCTGTTTGCACTGCCGCCGCACCCTCCGCGACGAGGACGAGGGGACCCCCCCCCCTCTCCTCTTCGGCCGCCTCCAAGGCGGGACGAGTTGCGCCCGCTTTCTGGACCGGAATGTAAACCCAGGGGGCGGTGGTTTCTTTCGGTCCGAGTCGGAATCGAGACATCGACGACGAGCCCTGAGTCCACCACGAACGCCCCGCCCCGCCCCGCCACGCCCCGCCCCGCCCCGCCCCGCCCCGCCCTCGGACCGAGCCGAGGTGTTCCTGGCGATAAATTGGCTCCGACACTGCAGGTTGCTTCGTCATTAGTGCTGCTCCACACTCTGACGACTCCACGACTCGAATCGACAATCGACCCCCTTTTCGATTCCATCGCCGCGCCATGCCGCGCTCCCCTCGCGCTTCGCCGCTCCGCGTCCAAGCCGCACGCGTCAAACCCCGTAAATTGTGGGCCTCATTTGCATTTTTCTCCCTTTTATGACGATTTTGTGGAATCGCGCTGCGCGGGGCGGGGCGGGGCGGCGCGGGGGGAGGACGCCAAATCGAATACGACTGCGTGTGGATGAGCCGATCGCGACTGCAGGGGACCGTCCTGGCCGCCGCCGGGGGCCTTCCTTAAATCACCCGAATGTGGCGCACATCAAGCAAATGCAAACAGAAAAAAAATGTCAGCTGGGCGGATTCGAACCCACCTCCACCGCGTTGGGAGACGAGTCTCTAGTGCGCTCGGCTAAGAGGAAAACCGGAAAACCCCGAACGGCAAAAGCCCCGCGGTACCCTCGCTCCGCTCGCCGCCCAATCGATGAATGAAGGTCAAATGAGCAATGGCTGTTTTGCTCATATCTCGTCCTTGCAAAAACATTCACGTCTCCCATTCGGCCGCCGCGGCGTCCGTGTGTGTGCGTCTGTGAGTGTCCGTGCGCGTCGGTGTGCGTCTGTGTGTGAGCGCGGGCCGCGCATGTGAGTGTGAGCAGCGTTCAAACTTTCATGTGGTGCAAAAGTTCTCTCTGCGCCGAGGCGGGGCGAGGCGGGGCGAGCCGGGGTGCGGGTGTGGCACCGTTTCTGCGACTTCCCAGTACTCAGAGTCACCTTGTGTTACCGTATAGGGGCGCCGCAGCCAGGTTCGGGAGGAGCACGGCGAGGCGGCGGGGCGGGGCGGGGCGGGGCGGGGGGTGGGCTGGGGTGGGTGGGGTGGGGCGGGGTGGGGTGCGGTGGGGTGGTCGACCTGCTCAGCCTCTGTTTGTCCCGCCGCGCATCCCATATTTACAACTTGCCCCCTCCCCCCTCCACCCCGCCGCGGCGCGCATACGCGGACCCGCGCGATACCCTAAACCGATGTTTTTCTCCAGCAGTTCTGTCACAGTCTGTCGAAAATCCCGCGCGCGCGCGCGCGCGTCCAGTTTGATGCGCGCGATTTTGGAAAGTCTGAATGGCGAGACAAAGGGGAGGGGAGGGGAGGGCGGCGTAAAAGGGTTGATGGTTCTGCTCGCTCGGTTAGAGCGCGCCGTCCCGGGCCGTCCTACGCTGGCTAATGCGGACCGAGAGGACGGCGAGGAGGACCTCCCCGTCGTCGCAGTCGACGCAGTCGCAGCCCGGCCGCCGCGCGGCGACATCTTTTGTGAGCAGAACAATGGGGGAGCTTGCAGCTTCCAGACTTGCGAATGAAATTGAAAAGTTTTGGGGAAGAATCGGAGGGAAACGGCAGTATATCGCGCGGAGGGGGAAGGGGGGGGGGCATTTCGCATTGGTAGTGCATGGAAGGGTTGCGCACGGCGCGCGTCGGAATAGGGGTGTTTTTGCAGCGGTTTGCAAGCGCGAGGGTTCTCGTTAAATGATCTGTTTTTTACTTTTACTCTATTTTTCGTACTTTTTTTGTGTGGAAAAGAGTTGGATTGCGTCTGTTGTGCAGATTTCTTCACGCTCCGGTGGAGCCGCGCGCGCTCTACCTTCAGCTCCCCTCCGTCAAGGCGGATCCTCGTCTCGAACCGACGCGCGCACACGCACACACACACACACACACACACACACACACATCGACAGTCTGTACTTCCCCACACAAGCCCCACCGCAATGCTCTGCCAAATTTAGAGTGCCCGCTTGCTGCTGCACTGTAGTGAAGTCGACGAAGCCCAAAGATTCTGCTGCGACATTTCCAGAAGGCAAGCAATGAGGAGAAGGGCACAGCTGAGAGTAAAATTGTCTAGGTCCCGAAATGCAGATTCCGCGGGGATGGGTGATGAAAGCAGGAAGCGCGGTTTCCTGGAAGCCTATTCTCAGGCAGGATCCAGGACTGGGACTGGTGAGGTCCTGGACGCCCGGCGGCACGCGGCTTCCCGAAACGGCGCGACCTTTCGCCACAGTGGCGCGGAAGTAGCCGAAGGAGCCCAACCGAGCCCCACGCTCATTCGGCCCGCTCCGGCCCACGCATTGTCGCGGCTTGAATTAGCCGGGGCCACGTGGGCCACACGTGAGGGTGAAAGGCCACTGGGCGGGCAGGCCGTGCGCAGCACAGCGCAGCGCCCAGAGACAAGGTTCGCGGTTCGCCTCACCGTTGTGCGGCCGCTTTTGTGGGCATCAGCTGGTGCCGACGGCCTCACCGCGCCATTGTAAGCGTGCCCGGTTGCTCTGTCTCTCTCGCACTCGCGGGGCGCGCCGTAAAGGTGCGAGCGAGACAGAGCGAGCGAAGCGATTCGCGCATGCGGTCCGTGCGGTTGCAGTTGTTGGGGCCGACGCGGTGATGACGCGGCGCGGGCCGAGCCGAGTGAGCCGGCCAAAGGGGTAGGAGGGCGCGCTGTCTCTCTCGCACGTCCTCCGGGGCGACGTGTGAGTGCGACAGAGACAGAGTGACGCATATCGGCCTGCCGGCCGCAGGGGTGACACGCTGCCGGACGCCGCACGCATGCAGGCCGTCCCGGACCGTCCCGGACCGTCCCCACATCCGTCTCGCGCGTCTCCGCAACGCCCGCACTCACACACACTCTCACTCTCTCACACACGCACTATTATTCATGCAGGGTGCAGGGGAGATGCAGCTGGTCATATTTGAGGCAGCTGCCGCCGAGGCCGGGCCGAGCCGCCGCCCCCGCCCCCACAATGATGTGTGCATTCGAGGACCACTGACTGGCCGCCCGGCCCTCTGCCCTCTCGTCGCTGTCTCGCTCGCACCCCTACTGGCCGTTCCAAGAGTGATGAGTGCGAGAGGGACAGAGCGACGAGAGCTCTGTTCGGAATCGCTCTGCAGCCTGCGCGACAGTCCCATCAATCCGACCGCACTCCAAGCTGCGTTCCCGCGGCCGGCCAGCCGCCTTGTCCAGCCCTTGTCACCCCGCGGCCCTGGGTTGGGTTCGACTACCGCTGGCGGCGGCGTTTTGTCTATCCAAATCAAGACTATGTCTTGCCCCATCGCAGCAAAACAGAGTAAAGCCCGTGGAGTTTCTGTCCCGTAGTGTTGCGGGTAGGTCCCTGCGACCGGGGCGCGGCCCGGGGCGCCCCCACCTCCAGAGGGGTCTCGTGAGAGGCGACTGCACGGCACGGTTACGGAAACCCTCAGGTGATCCGAATAAGTCCGCCATTTCACATAAATTCCCACTCCATAATAGATTATCGAATTATCGACAAAACTTGACTACTGCGGTGGGTGGCTGCCATACTGCCATGCTGCCGCCGCCACGGCGCCACGGCGCCGAGTCGCGACCCGCCCACCCGACTTGTGTGAGTTTCCTTTCCTTTCCCTTGCCATCGGCCTTCGGCAGCCTTCAGGCTTCCGTAGTCTTCTGCATATTAGAGTCGCGCACATGGATTTATTTTTAGAAGCCGCCTCGAGTCGCCCCGCCTGGAGCGGCGCTTTCGATCCGCTGTCACCGTGCCTATTGATTTCAATCAGTTTACTTCGCGTTGGATTACCCGAAAGCGGGACGCGGGTTGCACTGTTGAAAAAAAAATTTGCGGGATTGTGAAATAATTTGTGACATCATGAAACACTTCCGCTTGATTTTTATTGATACCATAATGCAAGTAAAATGAAATCCACATTGCAATAGACTTACATGTACAGTAATTCAAACTGAACAAGTTCAGCAGCATGACAAAGAAGGATTACTAGCTATTATTAGCTAAAGTTACCCAGCGCACAGACATAAACATGGCTAGAAAACATGTAAGTATTTTGCAACAGATTAACATGGACAAAATATTTGTCACATAAATTAATTAAGGATAGAAAAATAATTCAGGAACACGCAAACTGGTATGACACTGCAGTGTTAACAAGCAGCTTCGGCGAAAACAAAGACTTAGATACCAGACAAATCACAATAATAGATTACTTAAAATCACAAAATTGTCAATCACAATCAAATTACTAAAACTAACGGAATCACCAGTACCACCCCAGCACTAACTTCTTGTATCTTCCTGCTGGTCAGAAATATGGTTAAGAAATCAGCCATGTTGTCACTTGCAGCAACATATTGAACACTAATCAGTCCTGTCCTGATTCAGTCGTTAATGAAGTGATATTTTGTATCAGTTGCTTTAGACCTCTGATCATTGATGTCTTTCTAGACTAGTGGGTACTGGTTTTGTTCCCTTGAATGCACAGTTGTATGGGCTCTAGTCCCACTTTGTACAACATGTTCCAAAGAGCCTCTTGAGCGTTAATGAACATTGTTATATATGCAGCACACTTCAGTGCTAGAATTTCAGCCATCTACATTCAAAGGCAGTGATCCTCTGTGATAGTCGTAGTCTCAGGTCTCAAGTTGAACAGTACTTTCTTCAAGATTCTTGAGTCTCTTCACTTTCTTGGGAGTTTTCTTAATTGATGGCACTTCTGGAGGAGTCTTTTTCTTGAGTAATTTGGCACTAACTTTTTGGCAACTGTCACAGAATTTCTTGGGTTGATCAATGAGATATTTACAAGAATTGCTGCGTAGGGTTGTTGTGTAACGGGTCTCATGGAAATCATTGTTGTCAATGTGACAAGTATCCAAGCTGTTCTTCCACAAGACCCTAAATTGGGGTTTGTTGATGCCATTGCATATCTCTAGCTTACGGAATCTTGAGATTAAACTAGAAACTTCCTCAACAAAGGAACAATGGGTTGCAGCAGTTAAGGGTGTGATGGTTTGATCTGGAAGCAACTTGTGACCATGAGCAAAACTTTGGACTTCACCAGATGAAAAGCTGATGAACAATGATCTTTGGCTAACACGTGCAAGATCTCTTGAATGAAGTGTGATGTGCAAGCCTTCGTTTTCCTTGACCACACTCCAATGACGAGGAAGAAGATTTTGAATGGCTTGCAGCACCATGTTTTCTGGATGCTGTTCTGCTTTTTTGATAGGTGTGGAGGTTAAATTGAGTACTGGTTCTGCAGGTTGCGGCTCATTGATGGTTTGTTGATTTGTTGGCTTGTTGACAGGAGTAGAGGTTGAACTGAGTGCTGGTTCTTCAGGTTGCTGTCCATTGATGATTTGTTGATTTGTTGGTTGGTTGACAGTTATGGAGGTTGCATTGCACGCTGGTTTCTTCAAAATTAAGAGAACTTTAGATGTTGCTGGATGTTTGAGTATGGAGACCGGACGCTTGCGATTGGAAACTGGCGAAGAGGGGCTTGAAACCTGCACACAATGCATTACAATTAGATACACCGCAGCGTGGGAAAGCAAAAGATAAATTAAAACGAATATTAAACATACAATTTTGGATGAAGTCTCTGTAGGTATTGGACAGCAGTCTGAGGTGGCATCTGCACTTATGGAAACCTGTGTTAACAGAATTTAAAATAAAACAATTCATTAGGATACATTTTCAGTGGAGATAATTGCAGGAGATATAGAGAGATTGAAAACAATTTCAATGGTTTTAACAACAATTCCCTCCCCCCCTCACTAAAAAAAAAAGAAGATAAATTAGAACATATGCAAACTAATGAGAGAGCTACACATGAACATCAAAACAACTCCTACCTGATGGGAAGGAAAAACTTTGTCTTGCTCCACAATCACTTGCTGCTCAGTTTCATCAGCTTCTATAGTTTGTTTCTGGTCATCAATGTCAAACACTTGAGTTTCAGCCTGACTAATAGAAACCTGCTAAGACAATAAAGAAACAAAGCCCAAAAAGCACAGGAGATTAGTGGCTGAGCAAAGCAAAAGCAAGAACTGATGCTTACAAAAAGACCTCTTACAGATTGGGAAGGAAGGTAATCATGATCATGATAGTGTCCGGAGAGGGTACGGCCATTGACCTATTATCACATGACAAACAAAAAAATGCTAGTTTAGTGGCTACAAACAACAAAAACAAGAAGATTTTTTCTCTCAGAATAAATATACATACATTTTTATTTGAGCAGTAGTCATGGTCATCTTGAGTTGGGAAGTCATCTCTATCATGGAGAAGCTGTTGTAACTAGCAAAAAATTTGTTAGAACATGAATAGACATTTTTACCAAGCCCAGGTACGGGTTTGTTTACGTATTTTGCCCATGAGCCAGAGCATTTGTGTGGGCGATATTTAATATTTTGGCCATAGTGTTCCATGAAGAATGTTGTAAGGAATGGAATACTGTGGCCAAAATATAGGATATCGCCCACAGAAATGCGCAGGCTCGTTGGCAAAATATGTAAGCAAAGCTTAGAAAGAAAGATCTATACTATGACATGTAAATAAACTAGTCAGTACATATCACATAAATTGAGTACTTACAGCTTTTTTCTTCCGTTTTCGATAGGATGTGGGTGAAAACATCTTCCTGACAGGCTTATGAAAAGTGAAGCTCTTCTTCTTCTTCAGCTTCGGAGACCCAGGCATGGCCCTGTAGTGAAGACAAGTACAGGCGATATGTAAGAGGAAGAGGTTAGGTAGCATATATTTGTCTAAATACAAGGAACTCTATTCTCAGTCGAAACTCGTGTCCATCAAGGTGCGTGTTCAAATTTAATTAAACAAATGGATACTCTTGGCTCACTTCAGTTTCAGTTGATTTCCTCTCAACAATATTCTGGGCCCATCACCTTTTGTGTTTTGACTATCAAGAACAACTTGTCATTAGATCATTTCTTGAGGAATACAGTGGGCCTTCATTCATGGAGCAGCAAATGATGTTTGGCTTCTTGCATACATGCACATGCATATCCACAACCCACAAAAATCTCCCTTGGAGAGCCTCCACGCCTCCACTCTCCACCTTTTCCCCCACGCCCCCTTGCCCTGGATTCGTCGTCTGTCTGTGTGTACACAAACGAACACGGACACACTCATTCGTAAATACAACGAGCTCTCAGGATCAGTCAGCTGACAGCAAGAACGGCAGTGGGATTTCTTGTCGCCCGAATTTTTTAGCACGATCCGCACACCATTCGGCGCTACGACACTCATGTAGTTTTGGTGGTAAGGAACATTTGAGAGGAAACGACGCACTACAAAGTTTCTCAGAGGATGTGAGGTTATGTCTGTCCAGAAAATGCCATTTAAACCCCCTCCACGTACATTTCCATTTGTCGCAACATTTCAAGGCCCCGAGAGGCCGTCTGAAAGACATCTCAGCTGCTTCTATTTTGTTTAAAAGATGATCTGAGTGTAGTGCAGCTGGTTGCGTTGGTTGACAACACATTTAGAATTTTGACAGCTTTTGGGGCCTTTATTCTTCTGCATTTGTTATGGTTTGCTTGTGCTTCATTTCGACTGGACCTTTTCATTTGAAGTTTGTATGCACCATTTTATTTCACAGGTTCATGTAATAGCCTTTCTTAAACTTTCATTTTTTGGCCTTTATATTAATATGGTTGTCTATATGTAAGTAGGCCTTCATTGCCTACAATAGCCTCCACACCTGTAGCTCCCAAACTTCATCGTACTTTGTTTTCAATTATTTTATTTTTTTTATTTCCCTCATTTGAGTCATTAAGATTTAAAAAAAGATGGCATTCTTATGAAAAAGTTCCTAGCTGTCTTTCACATTTTTTCATGAACGCTTCTAGCTTATTCTTTTTGCCTGTTTTCAGGTAATAAATGCACCATGACCAATAAGGAACTGATTGAATGTTTCACTGATGAAGGTGAGTTCTTAGTATTATTTGCTGCAAATCAAAAGTGTAAAACCATTCACAGTTGAATATTAAACATTAAAACTTCTACTTCTTCTTCCTCAACAATATTATAAAATAATGCTTATTCTTGCAGGGTCAACATTACACAATCATCTAGGAAGTGCTGTCTTAGAAGACGATGTGATTCATATTGTAGAAAATCGAAAACGGTTACTGGGAGATAGTTGGTATCACATTCCAAAACCGTTGTTGTTGAATGTTTTTCAGTATCTTTCAGCTCCAGATCTCATAAAAGCAGGTCTCACCTGTAGTACATGGCAACAGACAAGTACGGATGAGCTCCTATGGAGAGATTTACTGCAAAAAGACTTTGGTGTTGACACTTCTACAGGTATCAGACCAGGTAATATTCTTAGTTCTATCATTTTTGACATGTTCCTAGATTTTCCTTCAGATTCTTCAAAGAATAAGGAATTAAATCACCTAAAAATTATTCCATTTCAGGACAAACCTCTTGGTTGAAAGAGTACAAACGTTTGTCATACCATACCCCTCATTGCCAAACTAGTGAACTGAGAAAGCACACAGACCAAGTACTACATGTCAGCTTTGCTCATAATGGAACTATGTTTACTACCTGTTCCAAGGATGGTTATGTGGTTGTAAGTAAAAAAATAATAATTAAGCTCTTCATTTGTGATGGATTTTTTTTTTCATAGTGTTTGTTTATTCAGGTTTGGAATTCCAATCATCCTGTCACAATCAAACATCAAAAGGACATGACAAAATTTTGTTGGAAGTTCACACACTTTTCTCAGTTTAATCAGTCTGACACCCTACTGCTTGTTTCGGGAGTACATTTTGGCTTGCCTCAAAGCACATCAGGCGAGATTGCTGTGTTCAGTTTAGGCGGTAAGGACAATACTAATTTTGAAAATTAAAAAAAAAAACACACACACTTTTGTCTGCTATCAACTTTGTTTAATGTTTAATGTTATAGATGATTTGGAGTTGCAATGCCGTGTTCTAATGAAGCCATATGATATTTGTGGAGCTTGGTACAGTGATCAACATTTTCTGTCGGGAGATGTCCATCGGTTGGGCCACCTTATCAGTCAATCTGTGTTGTGGCTGAACAAGGCTTCACAAGAAACAGCTTCTGAGCACATCCCAATCATGAATCAAATGTTTCGATTCTACAACTGTAATGGCAGCTCTGTACGTGCTGCCATGTTTGCATCATGCCCAGTTGCAGAGAGCAGCTTATCAACAACTTCCAATGAAATTAGAGACACCTCAAGTAACTCCAGCTCGAACCACAGTGGAAAAGATGAAGAGGCTTATTTTGAAGACATGGAGAAAAATTTTGAGCTGGATTCCAAGGAGCTACAATGTGGTATCCCAAATCTCCAAGGTATAGGAAGTTTTGTTAAGTAGAATGAATTTACAAATGAGTAGTCCTATAGTCTTAGTGATGTTGTAATTTTGTAAACTTGACCTTTCTCTTTTCACTCTCAACAGTTGATGAGAAGTACGCAGACGATGCATCAGATGTGTCTGAAATATCAGAAGCATCTGTTGATACAGAATTGAGTGATGATGATGAGTTGTGTGTTCAAGAGGATAAGTTCCTAATATTCACCACTGGCTCGAACACATTTTCTCCGCACCAAATTGGTTTGTATAGACCTCTTTTAAGATTCAAATCCTATTGAGAATTGAGCTTTGTGTACCATGTAATGACTTTTTTTTAAGGTATCAAACGGATCAAGCCCATTTCTTTCCCACGACGAATGGACCCAGGGTTACCTTTCCGAGAAAGAATTGCTAACCTGAATCGAGAATATCAACCTTCACATGAAAATCCAAATGAAGTTCAAAACGAAATTGCAGAGGGGACAGAATATGATGAAGTGGATCACTTAATTGATCTTCATGGTCATATCATCGGCATGGGATTGTCTCCTGATCACAGGTGAAACTATTTCCTGTCCTAGTCTTTGCTTTGAAAGTTTTCCTCTATTTACATATTAATATTGTGTTAATTTTTATTCTGTACCTAGATTTTTATATGTAAATGCTCGGCCATGGCCTCCGGGTTACGTTGTTGAGAATCCTTTAATGCCTCCTCCTTGTGCTCAAGAAATAGACATTCATGTCATTGACCTCGCGTCAATGATGGAATGTGGCAAAGTTTTACGGTCACATATTGCTTATACTCCATTTAATGAATGCTTTTTTATCGCCTTGGATGTGTGTGATGAATTTGTGGCCAGGTATGTCAGTTAAAATTTATGGTAGTGTTTTTAAGAAAACTAATTTAATGTTTGAAGAGATAATTTTACCATTTTCATTTTATTGCAGTGGTGCTGAAGACAAACATGGTTATCTGTGGGATCGTCACTATGAAACATGTTTAAATAAATATCCACATCAAGATGTTGTGACTTGTGTAGCATTTAATCCTAAAGATTCCGAAATGCTTGTTACTGTGTCTGATGACTGTACTGTGAAAGTGTGGCACTCAAAGCATCGTGCCAAAGAGTTAGGGCTGGACTCAAAGTTGTTGCCCAAAGCTCATGAAGTACGCAAAAACTGTTGTGGCCACAGATCTGTTGCCAGTAGTATTCGAAGACCAGCTAATGGTGAAATAAAGCGATTGATGTCAAGGTTTGCAGTACAGTTTGGCTGGTGAGAAGGACATGAGAATGCAGTTTATTTTCCCTTAATTTACTGCATTGCCTTGCAGAAAGGTTCATTGGATTGTCTTGTTTTGCAAGAGTAGTTACCAGTGAGCAGAACTACAATTTTTGTGAATAAGAAATGGTTCCAAAACTGTATCCAACAATGAGCCTGTTTTCACAAATTATTGCATTCTTTGGCTCTAAAATTTTTTGCTTCCGCATATTGGGAAGATTACTATACATTTGTTTTATTTCATAATCAATCAACATAAGTATTGTTTCAACTTTGCTTTGCAAATCAATGGTGCTTTGTGTTGGAATTTTGTTGTGTGTAAGTTATAAGACATGGCTAAAATTAAGATTTACAAGGAGTGAGCAATTTTACTGTGTATTTACTCTAGTCATATAAATGATATTTTGTTCTTTAAAATTTGTTGTCCACTATTTATTTTGGCTTTGTCAAGCCAGTGTTTTAGGTTCATCTTGGTGTTTTAGAGAATGAATCATGAGTCATGTTTTTTTGTGAATTCTGAAGTGGAGGATGAAGCTTAACATTATTTTCCTACGAGAGAATACAACTAACCAACTATAATATAGCCAGCATTCATTCAAAGACAGAGTTGTAATCAACTCCATGGTTGTAATGTTGTACTTGAAAGTTAATGCTGTAGAGAAGTGGAATTAAGTTCATTTCAGATTGTCACAACTTTAAATTCCTTGCTGTTTTTCAATTCAGAAAATGGGAAAATTAGGAAAGGGAAAGAGGAAGGGGGAGGGGGGGATATAATTTACTTTGGATTGGATTTTACTTTTTTCAAACGTCAGTTTGTTTGACCAAATTAAAGAATGTTCTAAGATTTAAAGATAATTTATTCATGTTGGCTTTGAACTCAAAATGTTGTTTTGTGTATAGTTATATTTTCAATCATGTTGAGGCGGTAGTGTTTTTTAGTTGAAATAATTATAATAGACATCTGTATCTTTCATTGTATTTCCAGTTTTTGTACTGTATTGCTTTCTGTTTGAATTCTATATCTAACCAATTAAACAATACTATTTATTGATATTTTCTAACTATTGTTCTGAATCAATCTACCTTACACTCTTCATACCTGCCAAATACTTCCTTTTTGAGAAAAATTCTAGAGCCTACTGTTACTTATTCAGTCAACTACGACTAACCGAGAGCGTGGCAAAATCGGCAAATTCAAAATTGGCCGCTGCTGGGCTTTCCCCTATGAAAAAATTATCTTTCAGTACAGTATGAAAACTTAAACGTGCAGATTTCTTCCTTTTCGATTTTCCATTGTTGTGAGTGCTCTTGAGAAAATCCTGTCTTATGTCCGTCAGCTGATGAGATCACTGCTAATCACCAAGTATAAAGTCCATTTCAACCTTGTTAGTCAGTACTCAGACGCCGCGACCACGGCCGTTGGTCTGAAGATTCTATTTCAAAGTAAGCAACTTGCTGTCAGAGCAACAAACAGGAGGCCCTGTAGGCTGGGCTGCCTTTGCAACACCAACCTCGGTTAGATCAGCAGTTGTATTGTTTTGATGCAATTTAGATGAGCCATTTTGTATGTTTCTCGCCCATGGCGGGCCTTTTTCATTCATCAGACTCCGACTTTTTATGTACTATTTTTATTGACCAGCCAGGCCTAACCTCCTTTGCTAGGAGATCTTAAGCAGCTGTCATGTGTCATCTTGGTCAGTGACTTTGCCTTTGGCGGTGTTGTGCTGTCCTGTCGTATTGAGAGCTATGCTTAATCACACTGCCAAGTACATACGATTCAGAATAGGGGCAACAGCTGATTTAGAAAGTCTACTTTTCTTTGAAAGTTTTCACTTTATTTTTACTGTTTTGTTCTTCTACATCCACTTTTTATCTTGAGATTAACTGTATCACACCTTGGATTTTTTAAATCCTGACAGTAGTTGCAAAACGTCCTAGTCAGCTGTTCCTTTCTATGCAACATCAGCATCATCTTTTTTTTAAGTGACTGATCACAAAGTGGGAGGCTTTCTTCTGGATTGAACTGTTTCCTAAGGCACTGCATGCATCTTGGTTTAGCACGTGGATTGCCTCAGCCTGTACTTTGTTTCTTACAAGCTCTTTCTTCAGCCCTGCCTCCCTCCACCATTCCTTTGTAAGCAGGCATGTCAATCATGAGTCATATCCTTTGTCTGCAATTCTAAAGTTCAAAATTGGTATTTTAATTTTTATTTGATAAATCAACCTTGATTAATGATTAAAATGATTTGTCAAGAGAATTTATGCTGCCACGTACCTCCGACCTCTTTGTCAGAAGCCACAGAGAAAGAACAAAGTTTAACACTACTTGAATCCTCTCAACATTCCATTGCATGATTTTTCAGCTTCTTAACGTTGCTGATTTTGTTCTTTTCAGTAGTGTAGTGTTTGAAGACCATGTGATGCGAAGGATGCTGCTCCCAGGTAGAAGAAGATTTCCTCGCAGGTGAATACTAAAATAAATAAAACAATTTGTGCATCTGTATGTATTTATGTCTAACACTGGCTAGCTTCTGCTTCAAGATGTTGGACTTGTTGAATGTAGTTCCAGCTTTGAACTTCTCCATCCTTCTTATCGTTTGCCATTTTCATTCCATAATCTGCTTCTGCTTTGCATCAGTAACACATATCAATTGTGCCCAATTAATTTTACAAACATTTCAAAATTGCATAATATCCCTAAATGTTTTCAGATGCTGTAGCAAGCTGATACTTAACCAAGATGCTAATTTATCTTGAATTTAAATGCCATCCATCCCTTTCCTTCCCCCAAAAATATTCCTCTCTTTCTATTTATTTTTCCAAACTAAAACCCAATTTTTTTAATTTTAAAAAGAAATTGTTGTGCAGGTACAACTGGTAGTATTACAACTACTTTTCTTTTTCTGTTGCAGGTGTGTATGATTTGATTTAGCGACAATGGAGATAGACCTTTCAGCTTATGAGTACACAATGTGGCGTTTTCTATTTTTTCTTACATGCTTTAGCTTTATGTAAGTACAGAGAGCATGATGAAGGAAAAATTTTGAATTTTGTCTAGTATTTTATAGTTTAGAAGCAACTCCTGTCATGGTTTCATTGGAGAAAACAGGAGGCATATTGAAACTTTCCTCTTGGTTTTATACTAAATTAAAATTAAATGCATTTACAGGCTATTGCTGGGCAGTGCTCATCTGATACTTTCAGTATGTGTATTCCTGTTTGTTGTGGTGCCTTTGATCTTTCGCTACAGTTACACACTCCAAAGGAGTATGTTATTTTTGAATTTTGGTGAGTGTGGTTGTGAAATTCTGCATCAATGATAGTGGATTAGTTAAATTACTAAAAACTAACAAGTTTTTATACAACTTTTAGTGAGATGGCCAAGAAACTTCAATTACAGTGCACCAGAGAAAGCTGGTCTGTCAGGAACAAGAAACTTCCACTTGACCTCAGATGATGGTATTACACTCGGAGTTTGGTTAGTATGTTTAATGATGAATCTGTACTTCAAAATTTTGTTAGTGCTTAAGCAATTACTAAGTATTAAGTGTGCATGTCCACAGGCAAATTTTGCCAGGTGTCCTTATAAACGAGTCAAGGAAAGTAGATGCTTCTGACGAATGGTATGAGGCACAGTTGAAAGATGGGAAGCCTGTTTTTTTATACATGCATGGAAACTCTGGGTCGAGAGCTGCAGAGCATCGTCTTCAATTATATAAAGTGCTGAGAAACATGGATTATCATGTTGTTGCATTTGACTACCGCAGTAAGTTTTATGTCATGCAATGAATATAATAAGTTTTTTTGGGGCCACATGCCAACTTTCAACTTTGTTCTTGCCTTTAGGCTATGGAGACTCAAGTCCAGTCGAACCTTCAGAAGATGGCCTTGTGGCTGATGGTATGTTCATGTACAAGTGGCTCCAGAAGCGTGTGGGTAACAGTCCTCTGTTTGTGTGGGGCCATTCTCTAGGAACTGGGTGAGAAAAATGTTGCATGTAAATTTTTTGCTTTCTTCTGTCTCATGTGGTGCACAGTTACTCAAAAAAAGTTCTATCACTTTTAGAGTGTCTTCACATGCCCTTGCCAAACTTTCCACTGAAGGTATTGAAAGCTATGGCCTTGTACTTGAAGCTCCATTCAATAACATGAGGGATGAGCTCAGAGCTCACCCATTTGCCCAGGTAGGTCAATTTACATTGTAGCATCTTAGTTAAGAAGGTTCTATTAGAACTTATCTTATCTTTTTTATTTTCAGGTGTTTGCCTTCTTACCATGGTTTGATAACTGCTTTGTCTGGCCTATGTACAATAATGGTCTCAAATTTGATTCGGATGTGCATGTCTCTAAGATTCGTGCACCGGTCGCTATCCTTCATGCTGAAGATGACCGAATTGTCCCGTTTCATCTGGGGCAGAAAGTAAGTTTACCATCGGTCCAATAAAGCAATTGCTATTTTTTTAAACTAGGAATGTTAAAGCTTTTTCTCTTTTGCCTACAGCTTTACCATTTTATGCTAGAAAACCGCAGTGTGCAGTCTTTGGGAGAACAGTTTTGGAGATTTGAGTCCAAATTTGGCTATGGCCATAAGTACATTTATAAGGATCATTCTGTTCCTTATATTATTAAGTGAGTGCACGTACCAATCTTTGCTGAAACTGTATATCAAGTATCTCATTCATCTAAAATGTCTTTTCTCACAGGGAATTTGTAGAAACCAGTATTGAAAAGCGCAAGAAATCTACCCAAAAGACAGATTAAATATACCTTCAGAAGCATTCCACATTTCAGTATTGCAACTCCTCTAAGCTGGAAATAGCTTTATCTAATATTTAAAAATTGTGACTTAACTATAGAATAGTTGTCAAAAGATAAGTGATTAGCACAGTAGCAAGAGTGAAATTATTGCTAGCAATTTTTGTGTGTTTCATCTGCTACATCTTTTAGAATCATGGCCTTTCACAATTATCTTCCAACAAATCAAAAATTTATGGCATTTAGAGAGCATTTTAATATATCTGTGATTAATGAGATAGTAATTTCTTTTAGTCCATATTGGTTGTGAATGTTGTTTGTTATAGCTAGTACTGTTCACCTTGTAAGTTATAATATAACATTCCCCAAAGGCTGTTTTATCCTTAATTTTCACTTAATATTGTATTTATTAGGCAAATATTGTACCAACCCCTCTATTTTTTTATTTGTGTCCTTTAGGTTTTGCCCCTGTTCTTTTTTTAACATTATTTTTATATACCTAATTGGAACATGTGTTACTTAGTCCCCGCCTAGACAAGATAACAACCGAAAATAGGGTTTGTAGTGGTCATGAAGATGACCAGTACAAGCCACGAGAAAAGCTCACCAGAACGGAGATTCCCCTGGTTGTGCAGCGTTGCTATGGTTGACCCCTGCAAACAAAACCGTGCAGTTGCTGGTAGAAATGGGCTTGTTTCTCTCGTACTTTCTCTTCGTCGCCTATTGCCGATGTAATGATTGAATAGTCCTGTAGCAAACTAGTTCACAACAGCCCCTCGCACAGCCCCACACTAGCTCCTGTGTACAGTTGTTCTACTGGAGCTTGGTGAGAAATAAGTTTGTTCTTTTGTAACTAGTGAATTCATGACATTCTTTACCAAAGAACTTTTTGTAAATATCAAACAGAATGGGATGTTCCTTTAAGTCTTGCACCTACTAGAGGATTTTATCTTTTAGCCCATTCCAGGTGCCAGTATGTACTATTGTCTTTGATTACTTTCAAAGACTTTGCCAATGAATGGAGTATGAATAAAAACATCCATTGCTTTAATCATTTGATTTTAATGTTAGGTTTTGCTCATCAGCTTATTTTCAATAACATCAACAGACAGTGTGCAACTTTTAACATCTGACTATTAAGAAAAGGTAATAAAGTATACTTTTTACAGGATGAGTTATAACACACATACACACAAAAACATGCCATAAGTGAGCAACAGTCTTCCAACAAAGAAGCAATTTGGTAACAAAAAGTGTAATTTATATCACAACAATTACCGGTAATTATCATCCCTTCTGCCACCACCTCTTCCACCGCCTCTTCCACCTTGATCTCTGTATCCACCGCCGCCTCTATTTCCTTGGTTCCAGCCCCCTCCATGACCTCTGTCTCTGTCTCTGTCATGACTTCCCTGGTTCCCCCTGTTCCAGCCACCACCTTGTGCTCTGTCGTTGCCTCCATGGTGGTTGCCTCCATGGTGGTAGCCTCCTTGGCCCCTGTCGTTGCCTCCATGGTTGTGGCCACCCCCTCTATTGTTACCTCCTTGGTTCCATCCACCTTGCCCTCTGTCATTGCTTCCTTGATTCCATCCACCTTGAACCCGATTTCTGTCCCCTCCGCCATGGCCGCCTCGTCCACCTCGGCCGCCGCCCCGGCCTCCACCTCCACCTCTTCCTCCTCCACCTGTAACAGAAAAAAAAAACAAAAAAAAATAATTAATGGACATTGTAATATTTGAAGGAAATAAATAAGTGACTCAATTTACAATGGGCGCACCTGGATTGCGGTCTTTTTGCCAGCTTGGCATTTCAGGAGGAGGGGCAGCCTGATCAGTGGTGCGACCTCCTCTATCAGGAACCTTATAAACAGATCAATAATCTTAGTGTTGAAAAAAAATATGATAAACCACAGGCTGATATCAATCCCCCACAAGCAAATGATACTTTGCTGTATTTTTTATTACCAGATAGGAAACTACCAAAAAAAAAAACAAGGAAAATAATAATAAGAAGAGACACACCTGGCCGATGATAACTTTGTTCAGTTGTGTTTGAGTGTTCTTGCGCACCGAGGCACTGCTAGTTTTCTCAATGATAGCAAGATCAACACGGGCTGCTAGTAAATCAGATAGTTCAACATTTGGTTCAGCTGACATGGTTTTCCGTTTTGCAACCATTGCCTGAGCAATTTGTTCTCCTTTATGCTTTACACGATCTGACCACTAGAAAATTAATTATACAAAACAAACATTAGGCAAAAAACTAACATACCCCTCTTAGTTTTAAGATATAAATTTGCTGTCATTTAATGTCTGACCTGGAACGATTGTATGGTTACATCTAGTCGTTTGATTAACATTTCTCGACGCATCCTGTACTCCTCATGCAGGTCTTTCTGTACATTGGCAAGATTATGCCACTGTTTATCTGTCAAAACACCTTTGAACAAAGGTTGACTTAAAAGATCTGCTGGAGCTCTGGATGCAACTTCTTTGAGCTGAACAGAAAATAGAAAGTAGGTGTTAATCACAAGCTGTGCAGACACAGGTACCAAAGCTTAATCACAAAGAATCCTTACTCTTTGCTCAACTTTCACGAACAGCTGCGCTGGTTGTATGTTGTCTGGAGGCTTAGGGAATTTGAGAGCTATTAGCATACTTTTCAATTCACTGGCTGTTGTTGTTTCTTGCTAGAAAAACGAACAATGATATGTTATACACAAGATTGATTCAAACTTGCATCTTTTGTCATAAAATAGATGAAGTACATACAAGTTTAATTTCCATAAAAGGTGCAACTGCAGGGCGCTTGAAAGCAACCATACGTGCAGATTGCAGTTCAGTCACTAGATAGTGCAGTAAGAGGAGGACATTTCTCTTTGTTTGAAGTCTTTCAGAAATATGCCCCTCAGTAAGAAATTTGTATTGACAACCTGAACAAAGAAAGATTATTAGCATCATAAAAATGAACACAACTATTTGATAAAAAATTTAAAACTTACCAATTTCTTTAAGAAAACTACTAAGTTCCAAGAGAAATGAAGCAGCATCCTCGGAAGAAGCTACATCATTTACTTCCTCGTCCAACTTGCACAGAGCCTTTAACTCTGCTGCCAGCCAAACTACCACTTTACGAAACTCGTTTGACTTAGTAGAAAGCTCCAACGCGTTCTCCAAGCCTCCTTCTTCCAAAATGGGTCCTTCGTATCTAGGGGCAAATTGAAGAATGGACAGTAGCAGCAGGAAAATACTTCCCTTGACATAGCACACACTTACTGTAAAAAATTTTGAGATGAAATAAATGTGTTGGACACAGTAGGAAAAGTAAACTTGGCAATGGTAAATTGACGAGAAAACACACGAAATGCTGAATATTCAGAAATGTCAATGAGATAACCTTTCCACGTTATTACAGCATGAAACGAGACCTCTGAACTGATGGCTAGTTTTGGCCCTCTAAAAAAAATAATTACCCAACATCTTGCAGCGCATCAATAACGTCATTCTCCATGACTCCAGTAAACTCAAATCTCACAAGACAACTATCATCGGCGTTAGCGAGAGTGAAGGAACCGGCGACCAGGACGAAAATGAATGAATGAATGCGGATCCGGAGGGGGAGGGGAGGGGGTTTTAAAGAGGAGGGGAGGGAGGTGGGGAAAGGGGTTTGGAGCCATATTCATATCCACTTGCGGCAAGTAGCATCCTGCACGGAGACTAGATATGCCTGCCTGTCAGTTTCCAAAACATTTGCGCCGTGTCTTCTCCAAGTTTTAGTATTTTGGTTTGCAGGCTTTAGAAATGGATCAACAAACAGCAGTATATTTGTCCAAAGCAGCGGCCTGCCTGCCAGCGTCTGAAGGCATTTCACAGCTGAAAAGCCATCTGCTGTAAGTAATTTTCTCTTGAATGTGAGGCAGTGTTTCCACGTTTTGACAGGTTAATCTGTGGTTTCTTGTTACTGTAAAGGTTTGTGTTTCGTTGTTTCAGATGGGTTTCCTCGACTGTCTCAGGTGACAATGCCGTCAATAAGTCTACTATGTGTCCGAAATGCTGTCAGGTGTGGAACGATGGTAAATTTTCCTTGAAGCTAAAATCTTCAGGATCTCCAGGTCCACGCATGGTCAAAATATTAAGGAAGTTTGCCGAAACTCCTGCAAAATTAAACCGAGTGGAGAAAAGCTTAATGGAGAGATTTAAGAAAAATGTTCGAAATAAAATGGTAAGCAAGACAATTTAAATCTTAATTTTAACAGATGTTCAAGAGAACTTTTCTAATTGTTTCCATTTCTTCAGGTTCTTCACTGTCAAGCTTGCATGAATGAAACAGTATTGCAGACTACTAAACATGCCCATCCTCAACTTGACAAGTATATTATTAAAACTCCAGTACAATCAGGTGCAGCCACTTTGCCAAAGAAGAAAAAGAAAAGGGATCGTTTTGCTGGTCTGAATGTCTCTGCTGTTTTATCAGTAACTCCTTCACCTGGAGCTAAGTCCTTGATTAAGGTAACGGATCTCACCAGTGAAACATCAGCTACGCGAAGCACTGACCGGCAACAGCATACAAGCGGCACACCATCACTGCCCAAATCTATTCAGAGTGATCCGATAGGTCAATTTAATGTTAAGAAAGGACACCTGGCAGGCAAAAAGAAAATGAACTTTTTGCGGGAAGAAGTCAAGGCCGCTAACCAGGAAAGGTGGATGGAAGAGAAGAAAGCCTTATCAAAAAAGAACTCCAACATGAAGCGGAATAGTAAATTGCAAAATTACTTAAGGACAGCACCAAAGGAGATACACTTGGAGGACCGAATCAATAGCTTATTACAAAAGTAAATTTTAATAAAGACAGGATGGGACAAACTGTAGTCAGTGGTTGTATTTTTGTTCCTCCTCTAAGAGAGAAAGACCATTTGCTCTTTACAAATGTTGTGAATTTCACTTTGACCTTCCAACATAGGTACATTAATATACACAAATATATCACAAAGGGATTTAAAAATAAATACATAATTTAAGATGTTTCATCTTCTTGAAGATCATCAAGATCATCTTCCCACACTCCCTCATCTTCAACCTCTTCTTCATCTTGTCCTTCCGACTCGCTAGAATCTGAGATGCCCTCCGATTTTCTGGATGTATTTGCCTCCAAATTTATACTATCATCTGAAGAAACAAGAATTAATTTAAAATCCAAATACTTGTAGTTGTCAAAACTAATATTCTCTTAAACCCACCTGCATAAGGCCCAACTGTTTTCAAGGTTTCAACAACAAGATTGTTGATTATTTCTCGACATTGGTCTGCAAACCCAGAAGGAAGCCAACCATCTCGTTCATGGCATTTGACATCTGGTACAGGGAAAGGCACTTTCTCTATCATATCTTGAATTTCTGGCACATGGACATCACAGTACTGCAACAGATTTTTCACAAATAATGTGTTGTAAACAATCAAAGCAATCTGCACATATGAGGAGCAGCCAAAAGCATACTTGGTAAAACATTTGTCGGCTTGGAGGAACCATGCCAGGAGTGAATACATAATTGCTTTCCTGGTAGAGTTCAGCACCATCCTTGGATTTTTCAGAAGCCTCAGAACTACTGTATGGAAGTTCTTTATTCAACAGGGCTACTTTTGCCTGGCAAGCAGGTGTCATTTTGTAAGGTAAAAGGTAATTTGTGTAGCTTCGCTTGGCTTTCACTTTTGTCTTCATCCCACCTATAATGAAAGAATACTGAGCAATGGACCACAAGGACACAACATTCATCAACTTAGCCGAATACAAATATGTATCCTCACCCTTGCGACGTAAGCGATAATCTAGAGTCTGGTAGATTCTAGATGAAGGGTCCTTCCTTGGATCATATCCAAATCGAACCCACATGACTCTCCAAGGACCAGTGACAAAGTAAAAAGCTACAGATGGTAATAAGAACTTCAACTGATCATTAGAAAACTTAGTTTTGCACATAAGGGCATATTTAGACCATACAGGACGTTCTTCAAACAACTGTAAAAACACAACATAATGATTATAAATACTTTGAAGTAATAGAAAATAAAATGAGTTGAGGTCAAGGTAAATTAGGTTTATAACAGACCTTTCGGACAGATGCCAAATGCTGTTCCTCCAAAAATTTTACCCGTAAAAGCTTAAGGGCCATGTCTCTGGGCTTCTTAGGAACCTCTGGTACATCAAAGTTAACAAATATTGCATGAATGGATCTTCTTCTACGTGTCCTACCAATGATATTGTGTGGAACTGTTGCTTCAGCTGGTGCATCTTTTCTATACATATAACCCTAGGCAAATAAAAATAAATGTGTACTACTCTAGTATAAATTGACATTAGCATCTTGACAGGGCACTCAGTAGATAGGGACATTACCTGCACTGTGTCCATCCTTGAGAATGCAGCAGGCGGTAGGAAATACATGGCAGGATTATGTATCCAAGAAAGGGGTGCCATGCCCTCTGGTACAAGTGTTTTATAAATGCATTCCATTTTCATAGGATCATTGGGAGGCGCATGCATAGGCAAATATTGGAAATCACAAAGATCTGTGGTAAGGCCGTAGATGTCAATCAACTTGGGAACTTCCCTTTATAATCATAATCATTCATCCAATAAAATAGAAAAACACTTACTGTTAAATTTAAATACATCTCTAATTTTTCCTACGACTCTGGCCTTAGTGCTAATAACTTGATCATCTGTTTTCTTCCGTCTAACTTTGACTTTAAGCAGAACAGCAGACACTTGATGCTTGTCACCACAAGCCGGTTTGCAGAACACGTCGTCGGGACGAAACCGCAGTTCTAATCGACGATTTTTCTCACAGTAGGCCTAAGTTAAAAAGAAATGAAAATTGTGAAATCCCAAATTTTTAAGGGCAGTAAAAACACGACGATCAAATAAAGAAACACAAACAATAAATGAACATAACCTGTACCCACCGTCGAAATGCTTCGGATTCCACCTAGAGTGTTTAGCATCTTGTCAACGTTGACAACACGACCCGGGTACTCAATACATACCAGGGATTTTCCCAAACCTTCCTGAAATTGATTCATTGGGGAATCCATCGATAATTTTTGGATGAAAACTCGCCGCCTCTGCGTTGTTAACGAACAGACGAGCGGTCGAACATTACCACCTGTCGATCACAAAGCGTACACCCTCGCACAAAAACTAAAACGATGAAAACACCATTGAGAGAAAGAAATTTTGTAGCTTTGTCATCAATTTTTGTTTTTATTACGGTGCTGTAGCTCCAACAGATTAAAATCTGAAGAGAAAGATTCCCATAGTTTATGCCCGTAGTTTGGCCAGCCTGGTTTGTTGACAGGAGGTTTTGTTTTCAAATTTGTGTTTGGTGTCCCGGGGATGTCAACTATGGTGTATTTGAATCTTTGCTCGTTGTTAAGTCATTGAAGTAGTCTCAAATACCCGAAAATGATTTAGCGGAGTACCATTGAAGGCTGCTGACATGACAGACCCAGCTATTCTCTCTGCTTTGTGCCAGAAGCTTGGTATGTTTACTTTCAATGGAGGTTAGGCGACCTCACATTCCTCTGTCGCTTTATTAAAAATTTCATTAACTCATCACTTATTTCATTTATTTGATACAGGGCATGGCTTGGAAGAAGTTCGTGTTCGAGCTTTGGACTCAATCCTTTGCAAGCTCGATCGGGGTTTCCTTGAAATAGCTGATCTCATCCGGTCAAAGGATTTCATTGTTAAATTACTAGAATGGTTTGGTTTGCAACCTTGTCCTGCTCAAGAGCGGGTGCTAGCTCTTATCCTGAAGCTACTGAAAGTATGTGATTCTCTGTGCTCGGTTTCGCTTGAGCCTCTTTGAAGTCACCATCTTATTGACACTTTGTACGTTACGTTCTAGCACGAAGGTTCCGATCATTTAGTCGCTCAAATTGGGGCTCAACGTTTCCTTTTGGCTTTAAATGCCATAAGGGAAAGCCTCCCTTCAGACCTCTGTCCTTTACTGGATGACATTGCTGGCTTGGTTAATCGGTCACAAGTAAAAGAGTTGCCTGAGAGGGGTAGTAACATGGATCAGCAACCTAGTAAAAAACTATCAGAAGGAGACTTTGTGACTGGCTCTGGAAGTAGTGCTGGTATTGGCTTTCTGGATGCATCCCTTCAAGAAGCACTGCAAGTTAACCTAGGCCCTTCTGACGATTCAGTTGAGCAAATATTACATCTGCGGTATGAGGAAAACTTTGGTCCACCTTTCCTACTTTTTATTTTCATATTGGCACAGCTTTGATAACATGACTATTTTTCCTAGTGATCAAGACCACCTGGAAGCACCTCTCTCAAGCAGTGTGCTGAAACACATCTTATTACCGTGGCAGCCTCTTGTGTCTACTGATCGTCATGTCCTCATAGCTGTGGAGGGTTCTCTTGGAAACACGCTTGATCGAGTACAGCTATTGAATACATGCTCATTTCTTACGGATGTTATGATGAGAGATTTCCCTGCCGAAATATTTCTTCAAAGACCTTCGATTGTCATGGTATGAAGTTTATAACTTGATCAGAGTAAGAGCGTTCATGTAGATTACCCAGATCATTTCATTATTTCTTTGCAGACATTTATGAGACTTTTGAAGTCAAGCTTTATGTCTGGGGATGATTATCTATCCAGAATGATAATATCTTGCCTCCTAACTCTCACTAACGCCCTTTTAAGCCGCCTTCGATACTACCAGGATCCCAACATGGCTAATCAAAAACAAGAAGTGAGTCCAAGTTTATACAAGTCTTGAAGTTTTGGCAAGAAAATGACACGGATTTTACTAAATTTAACCTTTTCTGCCTTTTATTTTAGAGTTTTCTTCATCATGAGGATGACAATGGGTCTCAGACATCAGCCGAATCTTTTTTGTCCAACTTTGCAGACCAAACTGATGTTGAAGCTTTAAAGAGAGTACCTGAATGGAATGATTATGTCCACAAACCATCTGACCCACAGACCTCTTCTCATGCTTCATCACGAAGCCAGTCATTTCCCGAAGGCAATGGCAGTATGGGGAGATCCCACTATAGTGAGGCTCAGGTAGAACCTATTTTTCTATTTAAATATTACCCTGGATGTAATCATCTGAAATATGGCATAACACTTATACTATTCCATTTTTAAAGGTTCCTTCAGATAGTAGTGCAAGCGAAGAGTCTTCAATGTTGAGGCTTCATCAGTGTAGTTTGCCTCAGTTCAGTTTAATTTCTATGCGTTATGTTATACCACATGTTGATACACAGTCTGAAAGTACTACTCTACTCTACAAACTGAGCTGTTTGCTGACAAATTGTGTAACACCTCAAATATGGCTTGCCCCTGCATCTGATATGGTTGCCACTGACATTGCTACTCATTTATTTGAGATGTTGGAGAAACTTGGAGAAACATTGCTGATTGATCGGTAAGTTTATAATTATGCGTATTTGTTTGTACTCAATGTTTTCAGAGAAAAGAATTTTCCCTAACAAAGATTTTCTTATTCTTCTCCAGGTCGCAAACAGCCAGCCGCTTAACTCACTTACAGTTACTAGCAGTTACCCGCTACCTTCTTCAAAGTCTTGTACCCTTAGAAATTGCCGACCGATGTCTACCTAGACAAATGAAACAGGCTTTATGTGTTACCTTGCTGGATGGTTCCCTTCATGCATTCTTTCCCTCATTGCATTCAGATTTACGTCAGTACACTCAAGTGAGTGTCCCCTTTTTAATTGTTCTGCTCACTGGATTATGATTTGCAGCTCATGATTATTTACCTTGATGTATTTTAAATTTCAGACTTTCAAGAATGTGCGGGATGTAGACAGTGTCAAACTTTTTGAAAGCACTCTCTCAGTGGCTGAGTCCTTAAGCAGTGCAGCCAAACTGCTGACATTGGAAGATTTGTCAGATGGCTCCAAAGTAGTACTGAATACAGAATGTGCTCTAGTTTCTTTGGCATTCCATCAAGATTATAGATTCATACCACTAGTCTTGGACACCTGTGCAAAAAATTATCATAGGTATGTTTTGATTTTTAAAACTCTCTTTTGAACATCAGGTGCCCTGTTTTGAATAAAATTGATTTCATTCTCAGGTGGCATTTAACAGAGAGTGAAAACTCTACACTTTCTTGCATTTTGCTGAAATTATTGTCCCATGCTGACATAATTGTAAAACGGGCAACATATTCTCACCTTCATAGACTGGTTCTGGAGAGCCTCAGTGTGCAACATCCCCATCAATCTCCAGCAGAATCTCTTGCATTTTTACTTTTTAACACCCCATTGTTGCTAGAAATTACTACCCATGGAATTGCAAATGCGGATGATTTGGTAAGGCAGCCAGGAATACTCTGCAACTAGTGTATCTTTCTATTTTGTTCACTGTCTGTATCTTGGTCTGTATTTGTTTCCTTTTTTTTTCTCTCCAGGTACAAAATTATGCTGAAGACATCATACTGCATGCTCTGAAAGGCAGGTTTTTACTAGGGACTGCCCATTGGACACAGTTTCTGTCATCCCTGGAACCAGTGTTGCCCCTGTTACAATGTTGGTCTGACAAACCTACAGCTTTGGGCCGTTCTATTATCACCATGTTGAACCCGGATGTTGGCTCACAAATGAGCTTGGGATCTAATGAGGTTTGGACCATAAAACTTTCCTGGTTGTTACAGAAAATTCCCTTTTTCAAAGCAAATAATAAAATGAAATGGTGTTTGTTTAGCTCTTAAAGGGAAACTTGAGGCTTCTCTTCTCCAAAGACGATTTTGTAAGAGGAGAGGCTCTGTCACGTTTAATTTGGCTTCTAACCAAAGAGGAAGATGCATTCAACAAATTACCTCACATAGCCACATTGCATAACTGCGCCTCAGATAGGATATGCCTTGTGGAGAAAGCAGTCGATGTTTTCCATAATATTCCAGATGAAGTGTTCTACCAGGTATAATCTAATTTCTTTATGGAATTGATATGTGAATAACACCTAATGATTGTCGTAAATCAAACTTCCTGTTCTTACAGGAGAGTAGCCTGATTCAGGTCTTTGAAATTGTCGAGTCAAGTGATTTGGAACCACGAATGCTGTTGTCTGCTGTTACTCAGTTAGCTGCGATGCTAGAAGACCCTAGACATCATGAAACTTTCCTTTCCCGTGCTGGATTAAGTTTATCAATTGAATATCTACATGCTGCAGTTGTAAGATTCCTTCTGAACCCATTATTGCTGGTGTAAGACACCACACTTATATAATATTATCTGATTATATTTGAATTGTGTTTCAGTTTGATAAACGTTTTGAAGTCTATCCAGAAGTGGTAGTGCCGGTTATAAGTATATTAAGAAGTTTAAGTCTTCACAATTCGATAACCAGACATCAACTGTCAAAGAATATTGCCATATTTTATAGTGTTCTTAGAGGTATTGAATTTGCCCCTCTTTTGATTTTGCCCCTCTTTCGAACCAATGTTGTAACTTATTCAGATGCAATGAACCTCTCTTTCCTTTCAGGTCTTATCATGTTTCCTTCAGATATGCGGTTGCGTTTGAATGCATCTCAGCTTCTAGCTGTGTTGTTATACAATGATGTGATTATATCTGCAGCACCTCGTTCTTTGCCTGATGGCTTTGTCATTCGGGGGCTGTCAGTGCCTCACCTCATTGAGTCAAGAATGAATCTCCCTATAGTCTGTACAACACATTGGAGAACCAGCCATTACACAGAACCATTAATGACAGGTGAGACTGAACGGGTCTTCTCATTAATCAGTGGCAGTTTTACTGTATTCAATTCATTAAAAAAATACTAATTTCTTTTTATTCTGGTGTAGATGTGTTGTTACGTAATGAAGAATGCAGAGCTTTTTTAGCCACAGCCTGGAATTTGAGTTACTTTAAAAGTGATCAGTCACCACTTCTATGGACAGGCAAAAGTCTACCTCCACAGGTTCCTGTTGCTCAGAAAAACTTCTCATCATCTTTGTCCTTGAACAAAAAGAATTTGCAAAGTCTACAGGCTTCAGCTATACTTAATGTGTGTCAAAAGCAATTAGTTTGTATTCAAGAAGCATCAACACATTCTGATGTGACAAACTCTTTGGATATTTTAAAAAGGTGAAAGAGAGTACATTATTTTACAGTATTGATAAATGATGGTTGACAGTTCAGGCTAACTTTGAGATGCTTTCTTTTTGTCCAATGTCAACAGTGTTCTTGCTTTGTATAATATGATAAAGGAGACTCATTCAGTTGTTGTGAAGTCGTCATCAGATGTACTGTATTTTAAAAAATTATACAAAGATTTATCATGGCGTCAAACATTTAGACGGTTTCTTATGGCAGCTCCTGCAAGTGTAGAAGACCAGGCACTTTTGGTTCAAATTCTTCAGTTTCTGAGGGCACACGTTTCAAACTCTGCTTCCTTAGGTATGATTTATTTCAATTGACTACCATAATTTCTGAAATGTAACATCAAGGACTAACTATTTTCCTCAAAAACTAAGGAATTAACGACAAAGAAGGAAGATGGCTTTCAAAACTGCTTCAGCATCCCTCCCAGCCTCTTCCAAACCTCTTCCACACTGTGGCTCACACTGGCTATGCGGGAGATAATGAAATGCCTCAGGCACTTTCTCACTTGCCCAAGGTAAGTTAGTATGAAAAGGGAATATAAATAAGGGCATGTCTATTTCTTACTAACCATTTGTACTTTCCAGTGGAAGGACCTCTGCAAGCAGTTACTCAAAGTCATTACTGAGTGTTCGAACTTTGAATATTACCCATCTGATCATATCAATTCTGCCTTGGAAGCACCAAACAAAAACAGTGAGACTCTGGAAGGTAACAAAGAAAACAGAGGAAGTGCCCAGAAGTCTAAGAAAAACAAAAGTTCTAAATCTGGTCCCGGCAGTAAAAGAAATAGTGGGGCTGAACTGGAGCGAGCAGAGGAGTGGGTTGAAGAAGTTGTGTCCAGTGTAGCTGATGAAAAGCAGTCCTCTCAAAACCGAAGTTGGACTCATGTCATTCAGAACATTGTGAGTTGCCTCAAGTCAAGTGACACCCAACACTTCTATAACCTAGGTAAGTTCAGGACTCAGACATCATTTAATTTTTTCTTTCCTCTTCTAAAATAATTCCTGTTCCAGCTTATTTGAATTGGCTTCTGTGGGCTTTGACTCATCTTACAAGTAAGAAAGGCTGGAGCACTGATCTAAGAAGATCGGAATTGAAAAGTCATTTCTCAGAAGTGCTGGGCGTGCTTGTGGAGCTTGTCCAAGCTTTCCACTTGGAGTGTGGGAAGGGTGGCAGCTCATATATGGGACTGAGCATTACTCGGGCGTCCATTCTTTGCCTGAACCATTTATTAGACGAAATGCAGCAGTACCAGGATTTGAAAGTAAGTAAAAGTTTTCCTCTTCTTCACCTCAATTTTTTATTTTAAGCTCTCACTCACCAAATTTAATTATTCTCCCTCTTGATAGTGGGAAGACTTCTGGCACAGGGCAACAAGGAAAGAATTTAAAACAGCCTTTTATGTACCGTGGCTTCCCTCATTGTTCCAAAGTCGTGAGCCAGTTGTCAGAGCAGCAGCCTTACAACTAGCTGCTGGAGTGGCACTTTCTCCACAAGGTTGTGAGAATGTTATGAATATGTTAGTGGATCATCCTGACATCTGGATGACCCCTCTGTGGTATGTTAAAATTATCTATTTGATTGTTTGTTTTGTATTGGTAAAGCATTGATTTACATCTTTATTTTTCCTTGTAGCATACTTCTTGATAGAAATGAGGCCAGTGCTGTTCGTGAGCAAGCTGCAAATCTACTCACACATCTTGCTCGATGCAGAGTAGACAGTAAATCTTGTGGAGATAATGTGAGTATTTTATTTAGAATCTTCAACGAAAATTTGAGAAACAAAACAATTTTTTGCTATGCAATAAAATTAACTAACTTGCAGGCTCTTGAAGATGCTGCTTTTGAAGTGTTGCTTCAACGCATTTCAGAGGAAAGCTTTCTGGGAGAAATTTGGGCAATGCTTGACTCCTTATGTCTTGCTACATGCTGGGAACCTAGTCATAATTTATCTGGGGATGTCGGTGTTGGCTTGATGCACTGGTCAGTGTCAGAGAATGACACTGAGAGCAGAAATTTTGCCCACCTGCCTGGAAACCAGTACATTTTAGTCAACAATAAGTCTAGTAAGTTACAAGTGCTGGCATGTGTTGGATTTTTTGTTGTTCAGAAAAAAAAAGACAATTACTATATTTCTGATAGTACTGAATATTTTTTTCATATTCCAGGTTCAGACCATGACTTTAACCCTGTACCATCTACTCCCGCTCTGATCAAAAGTTTGTGCAGCTTTTTGAGCGCTATTGGTGATATGAATCATGACACCCTGAATACATTTGCTAAAGCAGGACTTTCCACACAGCTTCTAAGGTCTGTTATACTTTCTTCAAATGGCTGAACATCAAGCTTTGATTGAGCTTGATCTAATGTATTGGTTCTTGTTTTAACAGGTGTGTTGGTACTGTGCCTCCTCTGGACTCTGAGAATAAAAGGGCAGTTCATTTGTATTGTGACACTTTGAGAATGTATGCCAGTGTGTGTCATTTAGTGAGTCAATGCATTTCTTGTAATATTGTTAGCTGTCACTACATCCTTCAGCAGCCACACACATTTCACAAGCTTTTAATGCTTTTAGATCCAACTCTCTTTCGTAAGTAAAATTGTGAACTGTGGGAAGAATTTATGCAGCCCTTTTTCCTTCCTTGATTCAGAAAGTTGTCTTTTACAGATTTAGAACCTCCAGCTATGTTAAGTTTACGAAATAATTTGTGGACAGAGGTACTTTGGCTCATATCCACACTCATAGCAACGTCTAGTGAAAGCGGTGCATGCAGAGAGCAAGATGGGCATTCAGTGCTTCACTCGCTTCTCATAAGGTCTCGTGGAGAGCCACTTGCCAGTGTGTTAACCATTGCATTATCTGGTTCAATGTTGACTGAATTGCAGCGAGCTGGTATGGCATGTGTTCAGTCTCTCTTGTCTCACCCAGCAAGTGTAGCAGGACAGCCTTTTGCTGTATTGTTAGATGATGTGGATGCAGATTTCAACTCATCCCTTGTTGTAGTCCAACAGGTCCTGTGATAGATGTATATTTTTATCATTGTTAAATTGAGTGTAAATAGTTTGTACAACTTGTTTTACTGTTTTCCCCTTAGGCTAACTTGGACGACTCAATTGGAGCATCGCTTTCCCGTTCTTTGCTGGCTTTGTATGATGTGCATAGTTTACAAATGGGATCTGTGGATAAGCCTCATCCGGGTTAGTCTTTCCCTCTGAGTGTGATTGCAAACACAAACATTTGGAACTGAAACATTTATTTATTTATTTATTTAACAGGAAGCTCGGATTGGCAATCACAACGAGCGGCTGTGGCCGGGGCCCTCTCAGCAGTTCTGGAAGCATCAGTCACTGCAAAAGCAGTCGCACTGAAGCAAGGTTTAGTTGAGCTCCTGTGTGCTCAACTTGGGGCAATTCAGTCTCATTTGGTACTGGAACCTGGAGAAACAATGAAGCGTCTTGCCACCAAGAAGAAGGTTGTGATTCAAACTAACTCTAAAATATTTTTTCCCTCCCTCTCCTCACTTTAAGAAACCCCATCTACTGTCTTTTCCCCCCTATGTGATATTTCAGGTGTGTCCTGTGCTGCAAGATTTGGACCTACTTCTAGGATTACTGAACAGTCTTACAATACAAAATGTTCCGGCAAAAGAACTAGCCTCTGACGTTGGAGTGACTGATACTATTCACAAGCTTTGGATGTGGTGTCAGTCCCTACCCAATTTATTGCTAACTGTTTTGAGGTTTTTAGCAACTTTAACTTCTGGATGCACAGCAGGTTTGACTGAACATTCCACTTTCATTATCTTATTTGGTCAATCCAAATTTTATGTAATTGTACTGTATGCTTTTTTTTAGCATGCCATTCTTTGGTTTTGACAACCTGTGTGCCTGGCTTGGGCTTAAGGCGGACACCCTCCTCTCAAAGTCTCTTGCATACTTTGGTTGCTCTAGTTCTTCAAGAAACTGAAGCAGCTAGTGGCAGTCATGATTTAACTATTTTAACCATAGCTAGCAGTGTCCTTGGTAATGCCTGCTTTGTACCTGAATGCCGTACTGCCATCACAAAGGTAACAAATTTGATAAGAAGCACGTTAGCTTAACTGACTGTCATGGTAATGGTGCTGTATTTTATACTTCTATGTTTTCCCCCTTTCAGGGTAATCTTTTGCGAGGAATTAGGCTGCTTCATACAAGCTTGTCCAAGAAAAGTAAACAAAAAAGGCATGTAGAGACTATTTGGTTGAAACTTTTGCTCCAGCTCTCTGCTCATCAAGAAGGCCAAGTCATTCTTCCCAAGGTAAATAGCACAAATTATGTTTTTTGTCCCTTGTGACTTCCATACTGAGAAAATAACATCAAGCACTCATAATTGTGACTTTCATGCAGGTTCCAGATTTTTTGGAGTATCTATTGCAGCTATCTCAGGGACAAAACAAGAACAATAAATTAGCTCTTCTTATTCTAAGAAACATTGCCTTTAGCCCAATTAACCGGCCTCGAATGCTTGGTTCAGGTATTCTATGATGATTCTTTTCTTCATCACTGCTCATGAGAAGTTTTGCATAATTTTGTTTCAATCATCTTTCAGGTGAGTTCTTGCTGTTGATCAACAAAAAACTGCGAGAGGGTGATACAGATGAACAGGTTGCTGCTGCAGCTTCTCTATGGGCCCTTGTCGCAAACAATCAGAAAGGAAAATTAACTGCCAAATGTGTCGGTGCTGATGTACATATCTTAGATTCTCTAAGGCAGTTAGCTGTGTGCCAAAAGCCTGGAGCAGACTTTGTTGCCCAATTAATGAATTGCGTTCTCAAAATACTACGCCATGAGCCTGGGAATAAATTGTCATGAATTGATTTTTAAAGAATGTGCTAAAAGTAATTTGTAGTTCAAATTTTATCCATGAAGTACTGTTATGATTTCTAATTAGTTTTCACCAGCCTGTAGAGTGGGCTGCGAGTTGTAGAGCTTCCACATAATTAATAATTGTTGTTTGAATGGTGTCTATTATGCGGGAGAACTACAATAAGATTATCTTGTTAAGTTTTGTGAGAATTATTAATTCAGATCCCTAGCTTGAAGTATGAAAATGTCTATTTCTTTCTAAGAAATAAATGAAATTTTCATTTTAGTTTAGTTTGTACTACCCCTTGACATGACATGAGAGCAAGGTGCTGTTCCAACAATCTTTCTGGGCTTATCATATGCTTGGGAAGTAAAGTCAGGGAAAAAGATATGCCAAAAAGTTAAATTTTACAGGTTTATTGAGTAAAATTTGTACACTGTTTAATCTTCAGGTCATTCTTTTGGAATGAAATTGGAATGTCTTGCAGAGAAAAAAAATGCAATTTAGCTACAGTAGGATCAAATGCTGAGTGAAATGTGGAGCAGTTTGGACAATTGACTGGATACCTCATTAAAATAGTTACAACAAGATTTGAAACAATGGTCATTGCACTCCAACTTCTTTCATACATTTCATTTGCTCAACAAAAATAATGAAGACAAACATTCAAACTATCGTCCAGCAATAAATCTCACAGTTCGTATAAATAGAAATTAAAACTATGGCAGGTTTTCAAAACCCTTCACAGGTGTGGCACAGCCACATGACCAGTTGTCCATCACACTGCTGACCAAACAAACAATACTAACAAAGTTGGAAAATGACATGCTCAGCTCTCATGGATTAACCTAAGCCAAACAATTCCTCATTACAACACTGTGCAACTAGGCCTACTAACTGTCCAGGTCAGCTTTGAGGTGAGGTAATTGGATCTAGAATAAACTTAAATTTACAGCTTCCCTTCAGCTTCTAGCCTCTTCTTGAGGGATTCGGGCATGGCAGGGGGTGGGGGTCGGGGCATGCGGAGTACAACTTTGACAGCGTCATAGATGAACCACTGAAGACCAGTAAGGGTACCAATCATGATAATCCTAGCAGTGAGACCCTTCCACAGTCCTCCGAATCCGATCTTCTTAACGACTCCTCCAACGGTGGCACTCTTGTCCTGGTTGAGCTTGGATACAAGGGTGTCAGCAGGGTGGGAGACCAGTGCGCAGAAGACACCAGCAATGTAACCAGCAGCGAAGGTGACAACAAGCTGCTCGTTCTTGGTGCATTCTCCTCTTGGCTTAGGAACAACATACTGGTACAAAAGCTCAACAGTGCGCTCGAAGCAGGCGAACTTCATCATGGTGTAGGGGATCTGGCGGCACCACAGAGGCACCAATCCCTTGTAGAATCCATTCATGCCCTCTTCAGCGAGGATCTTGGGGTAGCACTGACGGAGAGTGTTGGCATAACCAGGCTGTGTCTGGATGCGCACCTTGGCAGCCTCCATGGGAGACAGCGCAATGTCAGCGAAGAACTCAGCTGAGGCGGAGGCAGCCAGGTACAGGGAAGTTCTGTACAGGAAGGCGTTCTCCTCGCCCAGCATATCAGCGTAGACAACCTTGAAGTACTCGTACAGGCCGAACTTGAACATACCCTGCATGGAGTAGCCGATGAAGGTGGGTGCCCATCCCTTGGCCAGCCCCCGCATACCGTCCTCCTTCATGGTCACGGCGAAGCCCTTGAAGATTCCGGGGTACTTGACGGCGTCCACCTGCATGCGGCATTTCACCAGATCCAGGGGGACGATGGCGGTGTGGGTGATGCCGCAGGACAAGATGCCACCGAGTCCGCATAGCGCGAAATACTGGTTTGAGCCGAATTCACAGCTGTCCCCGGTGGCGACGGCGGCAGCAGACACAGTGCGGCCCTTGACGAGGCTCTGTGCGGCGGGCTGCTCCGACTGGCAGTGTGCCACCGTGAAGGGGCTGAAGAAGGGGTTCTTCTTAGCCGCCTCGAACAGATTCTGCATCATCTTGATCACTTCTGGCGGACTTCCAAGGGGTAATTCGACGAGCGCACTCGCCACTTGCTGACTTTGCTCCAATGGTGGACCGAAAGGACGAGGGTCACGTGACCGCGCCACAGCCTTGGTCCGGTCGGCGCAGCGTTCCTCGGGCTGCCTGTCTTCTCCACTTCTTTTTCGTTTGTTTGGAACAGAGTCGTGAGAGGACGAAACATTTTTTCAAAGAAATGGTAAGCTAGACGTTTTTTGGATAAAGTGACCCACTGATTAGTTTTGGGAAATATTGATTTTATATAGAAAAAGGAACGATGGGTGAAAATCCCTAAAAGAAAAAAATGTTTTGTGACAGGTAAATTTTTCATAACTTATTTACAGCCTTCTCCCCCACCTCCCCTCCCCCACTTTTTTCTTCTGCTGTGCACCGCGGTGCTCAGGTTTTGAATCGGTACCTGGTCCAAACTTTGGTGCATCACTGCAGACAACTCCGATTGAAACCGGCGTTGAACAGTCTCCAAGCTGGTACTGCCACCTTTGCGCTTCTGCCCTGTCTAAGCTATGTCTACGTGCATGTACAAGTTGCGTCCGATTGTGAGCCATGATGAAACCTTGCCAGTCCCCAGCCACAACATGTATCACATAAAACCGATCCAAGAGGCCGCTGGAAAGGTCAGGGCCCATCTGGCGCCACCACGGTACGTCTTGCCGATATCTCGGAGCGGGTGCAGGAGTTGATTCAGGTTAGAAGCGCGTGCGTCTTAAGCTGAGTGTGCCGGGTGACGTGGACCTAACCTCTCATCATGACCTTTCTGTGTGGAGGAAGTGGCCCTAACAAGCAGTTTCCTTATTTGCTGCTCAGCGTTCTCCCATAGAACCACTCTGCCCGTTGGCACCCTATTGACGCCTTCGCTTCTGAATTGTCTTAGCTGTCAGTGTCATTCCGACTGATGATGCAAGCCTTGCTGTGTTTGCGTTATTTGTTTGGCTGCGCTTGTGTGTGCCATCTGTATTGCCAGAGAAAATGAGCAGATTGAATCGCTGACCTTTTGGGTTTAATCTGTTTCTGGTTTGTTCTAGGGTTCTCAAGGCGACATGGCCTCTCTGGAAGGGCGACAGGAGGACATCCTTAAAAAGCTTGCCAAGCTTAAGACTGACATTGAAGACCTGAGAACAATACTCCGACAACCTAGTCAAGTCACAGCAGCATCTGTCACATCTGCCGGCACCTGCCCTCCATGTCCTGAGGTAGGTTCAACATGGATATTCTAGTTGAAGTCATTAATTTTTCATGCCTAACATTTTAAAATTAATTTAAAATTGTATTTCTAAAATTTAGCTGGGAGAGTCACGAGACATTGTTGTGTATGCTAGCCCAGAGCATCCTCCATACTCCCTTCTTGGCCTGGCTCGCTTGTGGGGTGTGTCCTGTCCACTCCAGCTGACAAATCACACCCATTCATCAGTCAAAGAAACCCCAGCCTGCGCTGAGTCATTTTGTAATTCTGTAAATGGAGCTGCCCAAATGCGGATTACATTGGTTTGGAAAGATGGTATATATTTTTTTTCTTGAGCAATTTTTTATAATCTCTCTTCATTATTTTGCGGCTTATTGTTAACTGTATCCCTCATCATTGTATCCTTTTTTTTCAGTTGGTGCTGAAACAGAGCTGGTTATCAATCCTATCAAGCATATTTCAATTCGGGGTGAAACAAATATTCTGAGATTTTTAAGCAGAGTTGGTCCTAGCAATTTGGCATACGAAAACACTTCAGACCTGATACAGATTACTCAACTTGATGAGGTGCTAGACAACTGTCAGCGACTCGCTCGCAGCCGAACAGTCAAGGAGAAGCAGGTAATTAAACTTCTGACCACCAGTTGCTGTTTTAAAATACCATTGGGAAAACAATCTAAATGTCTACCTTGTCTCACTGCAGGCAATCATCAGAAGCTTCAATGCTAGTCTGGGCAAGTCAGAATGGATGGCTGGGCAGGCCAAGGTATCAATTGTTGACCTTGCTGTCTGGTCTGTTGTGAAGCAACTAGGAAGTTCTGCGACACTCACCCAAGCTACAACAAAATGGATGGAGCGTTGCAATGCACTCTTCCAATGAAATGTGCCTTGCTGTCCAAACCTTGGAAACGTCTGTGTATATGGATTATCTCTCTTATGCTTCATCCTGGCTGATGAAGGAGAGCTGTGTGATACCAGTGGTGAAGTAAAGTAACAGGATTATCTTGCCACTGCCTGGTATTTGCTACTGCCAGTATACTCATTGTTCAAGTCTTCCACAAAACTGAAACTTAATTAACTATTTATGCTTTTAAAAAACAAAATTAATTACAATAAAAAAGGAGAGAAACAGCAGTAACATGTCTTAATTAATTTCAGCCACCTTGTGAGTTCCCAGTGGTTGCAGGTGGGCAGGGGACAGGATCCAGCCCGTCGACACACCCGTGGGACTTCCCCTCAGACGAAGGGCTCGCCGCGCTTCTTGAGGGCGGCGAGGAGGGCGGGCTTGGTGGCGAGGGCGCGCTCCAGGGACGCCACCAGGGCCTTGGTCTGGAAGTAGGGCGCGAAGGGCATGTGCTGCAGCGCTAGGGCCGCCACCCGGCCCTCGCGGTCGCCCACCAGCAGGTTGTCCTGGCCGGGGCTGAAGAGCAGTGTGGTGGGTGGCGACGGGTGCGGCCAGGCGGTGCGGGACGCGGGCAGGTACGTCTTGCGGCGCAGGTCCCACATGCACACGTCGTCCCCGGAGATGGACGCCAGGATGGTGGAGTTGCGCGGGCTCCAGACGGCGTCCTCCACGGACTGCGGCACGGCGGGACGGATTGAGTCTCTCCATTTTCCGAAGTGTTGTTCCCGCGACTCGGCATTGGGTCTTACCTGCATCCCCCCAGTCAGGGTGACCAGCGGCTCGTCCAGCCCCACGGCCCAGATACGGACGGTCCAGTCCGCGCCGCAGGTCAGGAAGATCTTCTCGCAGAAGGGGCTGGCAGACGGACAACCTCAAAGTTTGGGACTTGTGCAACGAGCACCCAGGCGATTCGCAGCCAGACTAGTACCTGAAGCTGAGGCGGTACACGGGGCCCGCGTGCGCCGCCACGACGGCCTTGTGGCGCTGCAGGTAGTTGGTGGAGCACGTGTGCACGCAGCCGTCCTCCGTGGCCACCATGTAGCGCACGGGGTCGTTGGGCACGGGCGCCATGCACAGCACGGCGGCGAACTGGCGCAGGCCGACCTCCCTCTCGGGGCAGTGGCCGGAGGCCTCCAGCAGCGGCGGCACCCCCTTCTCGCCGCCCTCCGCCATGGCCACGCGCAGCATGGGCGTCCACTCCAGGCCGCGCTCGCCGCGCCGCCACCGCACCACGCGCCCGTCCTGCCCCGCCGTCACCAGCACCTGCTCGTCGCCCGTCAGGAACTCCTGGCCCGACATCCACTCCATGGACCAGATGGGCTCCCAGGACGGCGAGGCCACGCCGCTCTCGCTGCCGTCGCCCGCGTCCGCCACGACGCTCTTCTCGGTGGCGGACACGTCGAGCAGCGCGAGGCCGCCGTTGCACATGCCGACGGCCAGCAGGTTGGGCCGCGTGCCGCAGAAGCTGAGCGCCGACACGGGGGACGCGAACCGGTACAGGCGCTCCGGCAGCTTGGGGTTCTGCGGGGCAGCAGAGTGGGAACGATCGACGTCCAGTGCGCTCTCCGAACCTAAGCCGCTCGGCCGCGCGGACTTGCCTTGGCGCTCCACATGCAGACGAGGCCGGTGGCTTGGTCCTGCTGCAGGTACTTGCCGTAGCCCACGGCGAGCAGGTCCGTGTTCTCCTTGTTCCACGTGAGGCAGGTGACGGCGCGGCCCGCCGCCCACTCACCCTCCAGGTGCCACAGCGGCTCCAGGTGGTACTCGAAGCGCAGGTCGGCGGCCAGGGGGTCGCTGGCCGGGATGCCGCGGTACAGGACCTGCTGGGCGCGGAACTCGCAGGCCGCCAGGATGCGCTCCACCTGCAGCGCGGCGCGCCGGAAGGACGGCAGCAGCAGCACGACGCGCAGCCGCTCGTCCTGCGTCTCGTCCTTGGCGTCGTCCTTGGACTCGTCCTTGGAGTCCACGGAGCGCGTGTCCGCGTCGCTCAGCGACAGCGACCGCTGCGAGGAGATGCGGTCCAGCACGGTCCGCCGCAGCATCCGGCGCCGCCGCTGCACCGCGCGTCTGTCCACGGGGCTGGGCTGCTGCTGCGGTGCGGGGGACGGCGTGGCGGGCGGCGCGGCTTGGGGTTGGGCGGCGGGGACGGGGATGGCCGGCGGGAAGCTGCCAGCCGAACCACCTGGCCACCGAGGACATGTTGAAGACCGTCTGTAGGGGGAGGTCCTCCGAGGGAAACCATGTCTGTCACGTTGCGCGATGCAAAGGTGGCAGTGCCGGTCCGGAAATGGCATACGGTCATTGGTGGTCCAGTTCCAGGTTTAGTTCGCGCCTGCGAAGCCCAGGTTGGGCCAGCCCGCCACGCACGCGTGTGCAACAGGCTGCCTACCCACGGCGCCTGCGAATCCCAGGGTGGGCCAGCCCGCCACGCACGCGCGTGCAGCAGGCTGCCTACGCGGCGCCTACCGTGCTCCGCGTCGAAGATGTCCCAGGGGGTGGCCTGCACCGCGGCGTTCTTCCTCCGCACGCGCGCCAGGTTGGTGCCCCTGCTGCGCACCCAGATGGCGGCCGTCTGCACCTCCACGGAGTTGAAGGTGTGCACGCCCGAGAGGTAGTCCTCGCGGTGCGCGTTGTCCGCCGCGATGGCCTCCGCCTCCTCGGTGTCGACGGGCGCCGTGAAGGAGGGCTGGTCCAGCAGCCAGATGGTGGGCGTCTCGCTGAGGATCACCGACACCGGCGTGTCTGGCGAGGTGAGCGGCGACGCCTGTGGGTTCCCGTTTTACGGTGGCACGCCTCCTTTCAAACTCGTAAACCAAACCAAGTTGTTTTGCTTTCTTTGCTTCAGGGTTCCAGGCGCTTTACTGAACAGCCCCACAGTGGGCCAGAAGACCGGCGCAGGCGGCCAAAATTCTCGACACGTTTTGAGCTCCAGAGTCGCTAAACAGGACACGAACCGAACGTGTGACCCCACCAATACATTGCTCTCCGAACGAGGAATCCATTGGTGGGGTCACACGTTTGGTTTGCGCCCAACTTAGCGACTCAAAAACGCGTCTGGAATTTTGGCCGCCTCCACCGGTCTTCTGGTCCACTGTGCGCCGGCGCCGCACCTTGATGGACGCGACCCGCGGCAGGGCGAACTGCGACGGCGCCTGGTCGTCGAGCGCCGAGAGCACGGACAGGGCGGAGGAGGCCGGCACCGACGTGCCCAGGTTGCCGATGCCCTGTCCGAGGCCGAACGCCAGCCCCTGCAGCCCCATGAGCGAGCCGGTGGCCACCGACGAGTCCCTGGTGACGGCCACGCCCATGCCGCTGCACGCCGACGGCGCCGGGTGGACGGTGACGGCGGGGCCGAAGGGCTGGGGCCCCGTGTGGGGCGGGCCGGGCAGGCCGGGCGAAGGGCTGAGCCCCGCCAGCAGGTCCCACGCGTTCTGCGTGCAGAGTTTTGTTTCGTGATTTTGTCGGAGACATTGGAAGCCCTGGCTTTCTTACCATGTGTAAGCCTCCAATGCGAAATTAGTGCTCGTATTTTTCTATACTCCTTCCACCCTCTGACGCAACCTCTTTGTTTTCAATTATTTATAGTCACCACACTATCTGTGTACACAGTGCAAACTTGTCAAATCGAAATACAACCCTCTTTTGAAACTAAAGTGTGTTACTGTGTTCTCAAACCCTGTGCATTCACTCAGAGTACATCATGTGTTTTTTTTTTCACGTTTTGGGCTACAATTTTAAATGGCCCAAAGTCGAGTATATCGTGCTGGAGCACTCCCTCAAGACTCCTTACACTATTTCAAGGGCCATTGTCTATCGCTCCTCCACCGCACCGGCGCTGTTCTAGCATCACAGGAAAAGTCATTTCCACTATTGGGCACCAAGCATACGATTCTTAGACCCATAGCAACGTTCCATATGAACTTCAGACAAATCTGGGGTGGTCGACCATTTTCGTCGAAAAGAAGCTAATGCTATATACATCGATTTTTCGCCTTTTGGGCAATTCATTTAAATTGGCCCAAATTCTATTATGTTGAGCAGGAGCTCTCTCTTATGACTCCTGATACTATTTCGAGGGACATTTTGGCCATGAGCAGACTTTTTCTGGCGAAAAATTGGAGTCTTTAAACCATGCTCCGGAAAGGTAGGCAACCCATCGGCCACAGCTTCACCGGACTGGGCTTCAACTAGCGTCACGGAAAAAGTCATTTTCACACCGAATTCAATGGGTCAGAGACCTTTGGGCACCGGGCATCTGTTTCTGGGACCCATAAGAAGGTTCCATATGAAATTCAGACAAATCGGAGGTGGTCGACCATTTTCGTCGAAAAAAATGTTAAGGCTATACATCATGGTTTTGTCACGTTTTTGGAAAAAAAATTAAAATGGCCCAAACTTGATAATATTGTGCTGGAGCACTCCCTCCAGACTCCTGACACTATTTCGAGGGCCATTCAGGCCCTAAACGGTCTTTTTCTGGCGAGAAACTGGACAGCTTTGAGCCTGCGCCGAGCAGGTAGGCAACCCACCGTGCACAGCTTCTCCAACTCAACAAGCATCATGGAAAAAGACATTTTCACACCAAATAGAATGCGTCAAAGGCACTTGAGCAACGGGCATCTGTTTCTGGGACCCATAAGAAGGTTCCATACGAATTTCAGACAAATCGGAGGTGGTCGACCACTTTCGTCGAAAAAATGTTAAGGCTATACATCATGGTTTTTTCACGTTTTGGGACAAAAATTGAAAATGGCCCAAATTCGAGTATGTTGTGCTGGAGCACTCCCCAGTACCTCTAGACACTATTTTGAGGTTCATTTTGGCACGTAACATGCTTTTCTAACGAAAAATTGAGAATCTTTCAAGCCTGCGCCGGAAAGGTTGGCAACCCATCGTCCACAGCTTCTTCGCCGCTCTAGGCCTCAACTAGCGTCACGGAAAAAGTCATTTTCACACCGAATTCAATGGGTCAAAGACCTTTGGGCACCGGGCATCTGTTTCTGGGACCCATAAGAAGGTTCCATACGAATTTCAGACAAATCGGAGGTGGTCGACCACTTTCGTCGAAAAAAATGTTAAGGCTATACATCATGGTTTTTTCACGTTTTGGGACAAAAATTGAAAATGGCCCAAATTCGAGTATGTTGTGCTGGAGCACTCCCCAGTACCTCTAGACACTGTTTTGAGGTTCATTTTGGCACGTAGCGTGGTTTTTCTAACGAAAAATTGAGAATCTTTCGAGCCTGCGCCGGGAAGGTTGGCAACCCATCGTCCACAGCCTTTCCACCTGTACGCGACGTATTGGATGGGTGGCCTGCCGCAAGGCGCACACACACCGTGACTGGCGGCCGGTCGTCCAGGAGGGCCATGTCGTGGAGGGGCCGCGGCGTGACGTCCACGCCGTCCATGGCGATGCGGTGCGCCACCCTCCTGGACAGCCCCCCGCGGCCGCGGCCGCCCAGCCCGCCCAGCCCGAAGCCCAGGGCGGGCCCCAGGGCCTGCACCGAGCGCCGGCCGCCGCTGAGGCGCTTCTGGAAGGACATGATGGACTGGCGCGAGCATGCCGCCGGCGAGAAGGTGCACACGCTGCTGCCCGTCGCCATGATGGTCGTGGATGGTCGGCGCTGTTGCTCGCAGTACCGCCAACTACGCGGCGCGCGCCGTCCGCATTGTCGCCAACCACACCAGCAGATCTTTGGCAGTGTCGCCAACATCTCCACCTGAACACCTCTCGCGCGGACTCGGGGGAGGGGTTGACATCAAAACAGCACTCACAACGTCACGTCAACTAGGTTTTATTCTCAATAATATTTACAATCAATATTTGGCCTACAAAAATATATCTTTGTTTACAAAATAAATAATACAACTATACCGGGTGTACAGTATTTATACACGGGTCACTGTTCATTTTTTTACCGGGTAGGTAGATGGTCCTAAACGTTGGAGATGTGTCTATTTTAGCGGCCAGTCATCAGGGAAGTACTCTCAAGCTCAAAAGTACTGTCGCTCTTCAGAGCCGATTCCCTCCTAAGGACAAACATACAGTCAGCTAGGTAAGCCGATGCTGGGCCAAAAAGACCTCTTATCAGGAGAGATGCATGTCTTTTCTTTTTATAAAAAAAAATGGGGTTAAATAAAATGAGTGACATTAGTAGGGCTGGCGTGCCTCTCACTGTATGTTCAACCTTAAAAAAGCTTCAAAAGCCATGTGAGTTTTGTACTGAACGAGTCGCGTAGTCTCATTCTGCGAGGTTACAAGTTTAACAGTGTACTCCTGAGTGAGCGTCGCACGACATCTCGCTCGCTGACATCTACTCTCATTGAAGGTCCGAACGACAGTTTTGTTTTCATCTCTTGAATCAGGCATCCATCCCGACACACATAAAAACACATTTACTTTCTTACACACAAAACACACACACTCTCACACATACACGCGCAAATAATCACAAGTACACGCACACAAAAGAGAAAGAATGAGCCGGCGCTAACCGACACACTGGCTTTCTACATCAGTAGCACCACCGTTACACAGCAAAGAGGGAAGAAATTACCTACACAATAATATAGCCAAAAGTATGGCCTTGAGTATGGATCGCACACGCCGTGGGCCGTGGAATCTGGAGGGGAATCTTAATGGTTCCTTTTTGGGTCGCAAGACATTGTGGCACCGTACGGAGTGCGGGGGCTGGCCTGGCTGGCCGTGGCGCCGTGGCCAGGCCGTCCCCAACTTTGTAGAGGTAACTAGGTTGTGGCATGGGGCCTGCCGTGCCGTGCCGAGTCCCCGCCCGGCCACCGCCCCTCCCCTCCCCTCCCCGCGCCGCGCCGGCCGCCGACATCCAGTACCCGGAAACCCGTTTCGTTAACAACTAAATCCTGAGCCGAGAGTCGCGGATTAGACTGAGGCGATGAACAAGTCGGTTTACGGTCGGCCGACTCCTAGAATGAGCGAAAATTGAAGGCGATTTCAAATTTAGCACCGCGGGCGTTGAGAGCCGTGCCATGCGGTGGCAGTGTCGGCCGTTCCGGCGGCGACAGCGGAATCGAAAGCGAGTTGAGCATTAGTGACAAAACGGACTTGAGGGTGCTCGCCGGCAGGATGACACACTGTGCGGAAGCGGGTGAAAGGGGCTTCTCTCTCTCTCCCGCGAAGCCAAGCGGAGGAAAAAGGCTAGTGGCACTATCTAACATTATCCCATTTCGCGATGAAGGCGCGTACAAGGCGCCCGCAGGCTGCTTCCGAACACCGCTTTCGTTTCTCCGTCTCTCTCGCACCCGCGCGGCGCGCCGCGGCGTTCCGTGAAGGCGCGAGGGAGACAGAGCCACGGACCGCGGCGGCGAATCAGTCTGCCGGCCGACTTTGGCGCGCATGCACGGCGGGCTGCGTCCGCGCGGCCGCGGCCGCGGCACTGCGAGGAGGCCGCGAAGAGGCGGACGCCGCCTTGGACGGCGCCGACGACGCGGACGCAGCCGGCGGGGTATCGGCCCGGAAAGCACACTAGTGAGTGGAGTGGCTCCAGATTCACTTTCCCTGCTTGCAGCTCGCTCGGCGCGTGACGGGGGCGTGGCGTGGCGTGGCGGGGCGGGGTGGGGCGAGGCGCGGACGGGCCTAACCGCGTATATACAAATAAGTACAGTAGTCAATTCCGTGCGGCCCTGCGGTGCCCTGCGGCCCCGGGACAGAGCAGGGAGTCCCTCGCAGACGAGTCCGATGGCGCGCCGCGCCACCAACGCAGTCGGGTCGAATTGGTTGTTGGAGAACAGGAGACAGATCGAGCGGAAGGGGGTTGGCGGGCGCGGCGGCAGCCAGGGCCTGCCAGGGCCGCGGGACTGACTCCCTGGAGTGCATGCAGGATATGGCGTCCGGTTCGAAGTATGGCCACCAGAGGGCGGGGCGGGCCGCGCCGTCCGGCCGGCGACGAGGGCTGCCACAGAGGCCGCCGACGGGAGCCTCTAACTGGCAGGGTTTGGTGGTTCGTCGCGGCGGTTGGTTCGTCTAGCCTCGTGGAGGGCCTCGTGGAGGGCCGGCCCGCCCGTCGCGTCGCCTTGAGCCTTTCTCTTGTCTAGCCTCGCGGAGGTCCTCGTGGAGGGCGTCGCCCTGGGCCTCGCCGGTCCTAGTTGTACTCGATGGGCGGCAAGAAGTTGCCGCACCGCGGGAAGTTGGGCGGCACGGGCGGCAGGTCCGCGTGGGTGCCCACGTGCACGACCAGGTTCATGCCGATCACGATGTGGAACAGGAAGTGGCAGTGGAACAGCCAGTAGCCTGCAAACAGAGAGCGAACGTTAGCCAAGTGGAGTTGGAAGCGGTCTCAGTCACAGCGCAGACGGGTCGGCCTGGCCCCGGCCTGGCCCCGGCCATTCGGTTCGTCTCGGTGCTGGCCCCCGCAGCCCCGTGACCCACCGCGGTGCACTGCGTCCGCCGACCAGGCCAAGCCCGCCAAGCCTTGCAGAGCGAGTCCTCCGGACGCGCGGTCTCTCTCGCACCCACGGGGCGCGCCTTGGGGCGCGCCGCACAGGTGCGAGAGAGACCGCGCTAGGTCAGTGACCGCGCAGACGGCGTTGACGCGCTGCGTCGTCATGCTCACCGGGGTTGTCGGCCCTGAATCGGAAGACGACGTAGCCGTTGTTGGGCACGGCGATGGTGTCCTTGGAGGGCGGCAGGTTGAACTGGCGGTGCAGCAGACCGCGCCGGTCCAGGTCAAGCGCGTGCTTCAAGTTGATCTTCTTGACGTTCTTGTCGGGGCTGCGGCCCATACCGATCACATTGAAGGCGTAGCCGTGGAGGTGGAAGGGGTGGCTCAGGTTGGGCTGTTGGACTGCGCCGGGGAAGGACAAACGTTAGTCACAGAGTTTCTCCACTCGTTGTAAAGTTTCATTTCTGGGGAGGTGGCTGGTGTTTTTTTACTGTACGGTGCACGTGTTTGATTGAAAGTGATTTCAACATCGTCGACAAAGTTTACGGACTACGATACTGTGGGTGACGCGTGTCTCACACTTTACGTGCTGTACAGTGAATAACTACTCCACCGCCATGCATTCGGAAAAACATATAGTACACTACTCAACAATTAATTTAAAAAAAACTTTTTAAAAAAATTGGGAAAACGATCTGATATTGGTTTTAAAGTGAGTGACAAAATCCACACACCAATGGTATAAATTTTAAGGGATTGCAAGTTATATATAAATACATACAGCAAATCACTGTCATCAGACAGAATCCAAAATTTTTTTTTCTTCTGAAAATGTGTACACTGCTGGTGGCGCGCTGCCGCCTTACCTGTCCGAAGCGGCCTCCCTCCCGCTCCGCGACTCCGGCCCGCTACTCACCCTCGTCGACGAGCACCACCTCGACCACGGCGTTGAGCGGGATGTCGACCTTGTGCGTGCACATGCAGTTGGTTCCGCAGTCGGCGGGCTTGTTGTCTCCGTTGCAGAACTGGTCCGGGCTGATGTCCTCGATCTGCGAGAGCGGCGGCGCGGGCGGCGACTGGTACGAGATCTCGTCCACCAAGCTGATGACGTGGTCGCCGCTGGGCGCCACTGGAAGCAACACCAAGAGTGAACGGGCGTCTCACAGTGTGCCGACAACTCGGTGGCGTGCGGTGCGCTCTAAGATACATTGCAATGTACACGGGGGGTTTACACTGCTTTCTGTACACGACGATCGACAACGGCTACAAGTGCGGAGGATGGCCTGCTTCAACAACCCTACTCCACCAAGCCCACAAACAACAACAACAACAACACAGTGAGGGTGAGGGTGGGGCGTTCGCTCGATCGGCTCCGTGTGGTGGGTGGGGGCCAGGCTATGCCTGCAGACTCATTCCGAGAGTCGTTTTTGGTCGGTCTGTCTCTCTCGCACTCATGGGGCGTCCCGTATGGGTGCGAGAGAGACGGAAGAACACGACTCTCGGAATGAGTGGGCAGGCCGCGCCGACGCTGTACATGGCGGTGCCTGGTGGTCCTGGTGGTCCGGGGGGCCCGCGGGGGTCGCGTCTACCTTCGTCCACAATGACGACCTCGACCACGGCGTGCAGCGGGATGTCCACCTTGTGGACGCACATGCAGTTGGCGCCGCAGTCGAAGGGCCGGTTGTCGCCGTTGCAGAAGCGGCTCGGGTCGATGTCGTCCACCTGGGACAGGGGCGGCGCGGGCGGAAACACGAACGAGATGCCGTCGATCAAACTGATGACGTGGTCGCCGCCCGGGGCCGCTGAGACAAGCAGCTCCTTGAGTTGGGGAGGGGGAGGGTGGGGGGCGGGGCGAAGCGGGGCACCGCGGCTCCAGAGTCGCCAAACAGGGGACAAACCCAACGTGTGACCCCACCAATGGATTCCTCGTTCGGAGAGCTATCCATTGGTGGGGTCACACGTTCGGTTCGAGTCCCATTTAGCGACTCTGGAGCTCAAAACGCGTCCGGGATTCCACCGGTCTTCTGGCGCACTGTGCGGGGTCGCTGGGTTAGTGGTTAGTCCGGCCGCGGCCCGCGTTCCGTGGTTAGTAGGTTAACCCATCCCAGAGCAAAGGGCTGCAAAGGCTGCAAAAGGCTGCGGCTGTGCGTGCCGCGACAGGCGTCTCAGCCGCGGCGCCGCGACCGCGGCCAGCAGAGCGATACCACATGCCGCGCCCATCTCTCTCGCACTCATCGGGCGACCCGCACGGGTGCGAGAGAGACGGAATTGCAGTGCGGGATCGGACTACTGGCCCGGGAACACCGAACTCGGTCGCCCTCAACAGTGACGCTGCAGGCCTCGCGGACCACCCCTGCTAGGAAAACAGCAAATCAAGAAAACAAAACAACAACAAAGGCAAGAACAAGGCGCGCAAGGATGGCAAAATGCTACGAATCCAGTCTGCTTTGCTCGTCATGGAAGCTTTTAAGAAGCGACAAAGCCGCCGCAGCCGCACGTCCCGATCGTAAAGGCAAACACCCTTCCGCATTAATAACGCCGCTAATCGCACCGCTTGTTTAATATGCGGTCCATGCGGTCGCGCGCGTCGAGCGTACTCACCGCACCGGAGCGTACTACCGAGCGTACCGAGAGGATCGACCAGACTAAACGTCTGTGGACCATTTTCGTTGCCAACACTGGGATCAATTTTGCACCTAACCAAAAATCTGGTGGCAAAAATTGTGACCAGCTAGTGACAGCTTTGTGACTACTGGCTGGTTACAATATTTGGCTGCAGATTTGGTAATGCACAAAATTGTTCCCTGTGGGTAACAATAAAAGCAAGCTGACACCTGCGTCTTGTAGTTTTTGGTATGTTTCGATCGAAGTAAAGGTATCGTCTGCTAAAATTTGCCGACAGCCAGCTAGTGTGGAGCGCACCGAGCGCATGGAGATGGCGCGCGCGGTCTCGGTAGGGCCCTGAGCCGGCAGGCAGACGAGCGGCCCGAATCAATCCGCTGCGGTTCCGCCTCGCCATCGGGGGCGGGGCGGGGCGGGGCGGGGCGGGGCGGGGTGGGGCGGGGCGGGGCGGGGCGGGGCGGGGCGCGGAATGTGGGCCGGTGTCCGCGGTTATCTGGACCAGCGACGGGCTGGACACGGGATGGAAGACGCCTTACTTCGCCTTGCGCAACACGCTATGCAGATGGCTTTCACTGCATGGCCCCCCCCCGCCCCGCCCCGCCCCGCCCCGCCCCGCCTCGCACACGTTCCCAGGAAGGCACGCCGCACGCCGTGCGATTGTGGTCGAAATGACGAGTGACGTCAATGCGGCTGCCATTCGGCATTTTTCATGCCGCGTCCAGGCCAGCGGGGCCCTGCATGCCCTGCACGCCGTGCCTCGGACCCTCGGTCAAGAACGAGGCGGCTTGCATTCGGAACGGGAAAAACCTTCGTTGCGGTTATATCGCTTGGCTGCGACCACAGTGAGCCAGAAGACCTGCACTGGCCGCCAAAACTCTAAACGCGTTTTGAGCTCCTGGGTCGCTAAATGGGACTTGAACAGAACGTGTGACCCCACCAATGGATTGCTCTTCGAACGAGGAAGCCATTGGTGGGGTCACACGTTCGGTTCGAGTCCTGTCAAGCGAGTCTGGAGCTCAAAACGCGCCTAGAATTTCGGCCGTCTCCACCGGCGTCTTCTGGCCCACTGCGCAGAGGCTTGAGAGGACCCTGGATCCGCCTCCAGGGCAACGAGTCCATGCAAAAAGGAATGGCTAAAGGTCTTGCCTCGCGGGCCCCACTGATCGATTTTGGCGGATTCTCTTTTTGCCAACGTCAAACCGACGTCACCGCGACGGGGGGTGCTCTCTGGCGAGTGACACATTCCGGCGAGCGCTCCGTCTCTCTCGCACTCACGCCCTGCAGGCCTCCCGGGTGCGAGAGAGACAGACTGCTGACGCAATGACGCGAGCCTTCATTTCCATCCCTGCCGATGAAGATCTGGTTCCGACAAGGCAGTGAGCTGCAACAGCCACGGCGTGAGAGCGGCGCCCCAGTGCCACGACACGGCATGACCTCGGCGGCCGGCAGGGCGGCCAGCCCGTACCGAGCCTGCACCGCGCTGCACCGTGCACGTCGCCACGGGTCAACAAAGCCGCCCCGAGGTCTCCGGGTCGTCGCGGACGAGACGAGTCGAACCGTCTGTCCCTCTCGCACTCACGGGCGCCCCGTAGCGGTGCGAGAGAGAGAGAGAGAGAGAGAGAGAGAGAGAGAGAGAGAGAGAGAGAGAGAGAGAGAGAGAGAGAGAGAGAGAGAGAGAGAGAGAGCGCAGTCTGCAGCTTACCGAGGAACCTGTTGTACGTGTGGGGCTCGAACACCTCCTCGGGGGTGTAGAACAAGAACCGGAAGGGCAGGAAGATCTTGACGTCCGGCCGCTCCTGCAGGATGCCCTCGTCCACCTGCTTGGCGTTCTTCAGCTGGTTCACGCACACGGCGTCGGTGCGGTCCGTGTTGCAGATGGCGTCCAGGGGGTTCAGCACCTGCAAAGCCATTTCGTTGTTGAGATGTGCGTGCGTTGCGCGGCGGCAGAGCCGTCGCTGGATCCGCAGACGAAGACGAGTAGGACTGTGCACTCACGATGCCCTGGGGCAGGCCGACGTCGTAGGTGGGGGCCGTGGTGCGGGGCTGGTAGGGGCCGCGCGCGTAGCGCACGATGGCGAGCTGCTGGGCGCGCGCCTCGCCGCACTCGCCCAGACCGCGCACCTGCATCCAGTACGCGCCCACGGGCTGGTCCGCCGTGATGACGAAGTCGTACCGCTCGCCTGCAACAACAACAACATTCTCACGCCGTCCCTCTCGCACTCGCGGGGCCACGCCTGCCGCCTCTGTCGCTCACCGGAGAAGGAGATGACGGTGTCCACGGGCATGGGGTGCACGGGCTCGCCGTCGGTGGCGATCACCATCAGCGAGTGGCCCTGCACCGTGAGCTGCACGGGGCACACGGAGGCTAGCGAGTTGATCATCCTGAAGCGGTAGCGGCGCCCGGGCGTCATGGTGAAGATCTCCAGCGGGGTGTTGGTCCTGAAGCCGGTCTTGGCGTCCTGGAGGAAGAGAGGAAGTCATTGCGCGATTTGAGCAGCAGGGCGATGGCTGGACGCTGGTGCTTCTATTTCTGTTCCCCCTGGGGCCAGAAGACTGGCGCAGGTTGCCAGAACTCTAGACGTGTTTTGAGCTCCAGAGTCCGCTAAAAAGGACTCGAACCGAGCGTGTGACCCCACCAATGAATTCCTCGTTCAGAGAGCAATCCATTGGTGGGGTCACACGTTCGGTTCGAGTCCCATTTAGCAACTCTGGAGCTCAAAACGCGTCTGGAGTTTTGTCCGCCTCCACCGGTCTTGGTCTTCTGGCCCACTGTGCGCCGCTCCGCCGCACCACTCACCTGGAACTGGCCCTTGCCGTTGATGAGCAGCGTGTCGGGCGTCTGGCCCGTGTTGGCGGCCAGCCTGCCGGGGAACCTCTCCAGGGCGTCCTCGTGCATCCAGTCGGACAGCATGATGACGTGCGTGGTGAGGTCGAAGTCGTACAGGTGGCTGTTGGGGTCCTGCGACGGCGGCTGCCGGACCACGATGCTGCCGTAGATACCGTCCATCTTTTGCAGACCTGGCAGAGTTGACGGAGTTGCTTAGTACAGTACAGGCCCCAAGGTTTGGCCAAAGTGTGCAGTACTTTAATTAATTTTGTAAAATTTTATGTGTAGTTGGCTGATTTAATTCCTCAGAAATTTATTTGTAATTTTTAACTGCGGTTGGCTAGCCTGAGTGTGCAGAATTTTTATGTTTTGTAATTTTTAACTGCAGTTGGCTAGCCTGACTGTGCATATATTTTTATAATTTTCAAGTGCGGTTGGCTAGCCCGAGCAAACAGATTTATTTTTGTAATTTTTAAAATTGCGGTTGGCTGACCTGAGTGCGCGTGCCAGAAGTGCGTGCCCTCGTTGCCCGCCTCCATCTGGTACCGGAACGTGTTGCCCTGCTGGATGGGGCACTGCGTGACGAAGGGCACGCCGTCCGAGTACTGGGTGCCGCGCTGCCAGATGCCGTGCCAGTGGATCGTCAGCTCCATGCCCTCCATGTGGTTCTCCACGTCCACCACGATCTTGTCGCCTTGGCACACCTGGCGAAAAAAAGGAGAAGGCGTTTGGTGAGGCATTTGCAAGTGCAAAGCGCCACGGCCGCCGCGTGAGTGCGCTGCCACTGCCTGGTGCGGGGGGCACTCGTGCGAAGAGCCCTCACGCTGCAGAGCCTGCTGCGCACATGACCTGTGGATGCTTGGGCGCAGACGGCAGCATGAAGTACGGTGTGTTGACGGCACTGAGGATCTAGCATTTTGCACCTCTCCACGCCGTCGGCGAGGACGCACTGGCAGTGCGACCAGACGGTGTTGGTGGCGTTGGGGACGCAGACCTGGCACGCACTGTGGGCAGAGAACGGCCTCTGTCAGTTTGACGCCGTCTTCGGAGATTCGATCACTTTTTCAGCATTTTTGCGAGGACACTGCTCCCAAACTTGTTGCGGTCAAAGCCTCCCGAGGCGGGGCATGAAAGAGTAGGGTCTTAAGAGTACTAGGGCGTTGAGGGAGGCCTTTGACCGCAACTTAATTGGACGCAGTGGCCGCCCAAAGTCAGCGAAAACGGCTACTTTCGAAGATTCATTCGCTGTTTGACCATTTTTGCGAGGCCACTGCTCCCAAACTTGTTGCGGTCAAAGCCTTCCCGAGGCGGGGCATGAAAGAATAGAGTCTTAAGAGTACCAGGGCGTTGAGGGAGGCCTTTGACCGCAACTAAATTGGACGCAGTGGCCGCCCAAAGTCGGCAATATTTGATTTTCGACACTTTGACAGCGTTCCGAGGCTAATCATCATTTGATAGTGTACTCACGCTCCGAGCACAGTGTACAGCTCCACGGTGAAGTGGTAGTAGCACGTCCTGGGCGGCTCGCCCTCGCGACAGGCGCGCGCGCACTCCTCGGGCGAGGACAGGCTGGGGTTCCTCTCCAGCTCGATGAGGCCCTTCTTGGGGGCGTCGATCTTCCTGGGCGGCTGCGGCGCGGCGGGCTGGAGGCCGGGCGAGGCCCCGGGGGCGGGGGCGGGCCCCACCAGCGGGTTCTTCCTCACCACGTTGAGGGAGGCCAGCGGGTCCAGGCCGGCGGGCGCCGGGGCGCCGGCCACCAGCGGGTGAGTCTGCACCAGGCCGTGCGTCGAGCTGAAGAGGTTGGGGTTGTCGGCGCCCAGGTCGGCGGGGCTCTGCCACCAGGAGGCCGCCTGCGTGGACTGGTCCGAGCTATCTGCAACAACACAAGGAGGACGCCGATCAGGACAAGCTCACTCGGCGGGGCAGTCCACCACACTGGAAACAAAATCAAGTCAAAACGCCCTTCAACGGCGAGTTTTAGTTATGCCGACTGCTGGCATAACATGGCCAAAGGAACCAACTTCATTTCAGTCGATTCGATGTGGTGTTTTTGACAGTGGCAGGAGTCCGCCCAGGCACCTGTTGTGTTGTGGCAGGACCTGTCGCCTGTCTGCTCGCTGACGTGCACCATGAAATACGCACTGCTCGGTTCTGTTCGGCTCGGCTCGGCCCGGCTCGGTCCGGCTCGGCTCGGCTCGGCATGTCGGAGGCAGCGTGCACGTGTAGTTCGGAGCGAGCAGCGCGCCGAAGCCGTAAATCTAATTTCATCAACTAGTCCTTCTTGCCCTTTTCCACGGCCTTCCCAATCTGCGGCTGTCATGCCGCGGTCTCGAAACGTCCGACGGCCGCCGCGAGGGGGGGGGGGCTCTTAAAATGAGAACAAGACACTTAAGGGGACCACGCCGCCTGCGAGGTAGGCAGTAGCGCGGGCACGCTGCGCAGAGCAGTGTAGCGGGCTGCCTACCCTCCGATCGGCAGGCGCTCCGGCACTCCGGCCGCCTCTCGTTTTCGTCGCACAGTGGGCCAGAAGACCGGTGAACGCGGCCAAAATTCAAGATGCGTTTTGGGCTCCAGACCACAGTCGCTAAATGGAACTAAGTGTGACCCCATCAATGGATTGCTCTCCGAACGAGGAATCCATTGGTGGGGTCACACGTTCGGTTCGAGTCCTGTTTAGCGACTCTGGAGCTCAAAACGCGTCTGGAGTTTTGGCCCCCTCCACCGGCCTTCTGGCCCACTGTGCGGCCGACTCTCGCTTTCGTCGTCGGGAGCGACTTGAAACAGGGAAGGCGGGCTGTGCCGTTGTGCCGCCGTCGCGCCGTCGTCGTCGGCCAGTGTCCGCGCCGTCCGTGCGCCCTTCTTCTGGCCGGGGCGATGCGGCGCGATGCGGCGATGCAATAAAGGACTGTGGGGAAACCCAAGCCGAGGAGTGCAACCGTCTGGCTCGGACGAGACGAGACGAAACGAGCCGAGAAAATCAATTGAATCTCGGCGTCGCGCCGCGTCGCCTCGCGATGCAGCGTACTGTGTCGTCCCGCCGCGTCCCGCCACCGGCCAACTTTACGACTGTGACGTCGTTGTCCCGTTGCGCGAGAAATTTTTACCGGCGAGATCTGCTCAAATGTGTCGTGAGAGATCCGCCAATCAGGCCATTTTACTTCATTGTTTGAATAACCCATGAAAATCAACGGAGCTCTGTCGTTGACGACACCTTTTTGAGAACAGGCCGATGACAACTATCACTTCAGGGGCTTCCCTTGAGGACATACGCCGCCGTGGATTAAATCTGTTTGTTGTTGTTGTTGTTGTTGTTTTTGAGGAGATGAAGGGGAAAGGTCGTTGGAGACGGGACGATGGAAGAAAGTGAGGCGACGGCCGTCCGTCCGTCCGACCTGCCGGCCGGTGGTGTCAAGGCCGAGGGCGCGCGGTCATCATCAGATCGCGGCGATCGCAGCCGTGCCACTTCGTCGCTCTGTCTCTCGCACTCGCGGGGCTCTCCGCAAGGGTGCGAGAGAGACAGACTGATGAATCGCTCGGCAGGGACAAGCTCATTTTGACGACAACAATGAGTAAGCGGTCTCGGCGTCTTGACTGTCTCGGTTCGGGCAAACCGGAAGGGAGCGCGCCCGATTGCCTGTCAGCGCCAATCTGAACGTGAATCTGGCGGCAGGTGCGAAAAAGTCAATCCGGAGCCCCGCCGGCCGCGCCAGCCCGACGGATGGAGCGGTCACTTCAAAACGCCGAGACAGCAGCGAGAGAGAGAGAGAGAGAGAGAGAGAGAGAGAGAGAGAGAGAGAGAGAGAGAGAGAGAGAGAGAGAGAGAGAGAGAGAGAGAGAGAGAGAGAGAGAGAGACGCAAACAAGAGGTTAAAGACCCGCGCTGGAAAACGACTAGAAAAAGTGTGAAGGAGTGAGAGTGTGATACAAACAACGGTGCGCCGCCGACTCGTCCTGGGAAGAGGCGGCCGAAGAATAGGTATGAGAATGTTGTGCGCGCGCAGACGCGCGGACACGCGGACACCACACTGGAGGGCGAAAAGCGAGCTTTTCGCGGGGATTAGAATGTGGCGCGGTGAGAAAGGCGCCACACTGTAGGGCGCCAACTCAACAAGTCCGACTAAGTACGAGGAGCGGCAAACGCAAGTTGACTTCTTGAAATTTCATTTTTTCACTTTAACTTGAAATTTTATTTTTTCACTTTTAACTTGAAATTTCATTTTTTCACTTTAGCTTGAAATTTCATTTTTTCACTTTAACTTGAAATTTCTTTTCTTCACTTTAAAATCCTTTGGATGAGGCTCGATATGCGGACACCCACGGCCGGTGCGTCGGCGCTCCCGTTCCTAACTGTCCTCTTTAACGGCGGCCGGCCAGTGGCAGACTGTAATTGCCAGTGCACACATAACGTGCGTGTTTATTGAGCGAGGGTTATGCGATAAGGGAAGGTCTCATGCAGGCCGACGTTTCGTAAAGGCAGCCGCACCAGTGAGCCAAGTAGATGAAGACAAGGAATGGCATGCAACCGCCCGCGGCCACCAGCAGCACCGGCCAGCGGACTCACTCCGAGAGTCGCCCTGTCTCTCTCGCACTCGTGGGGCGTCATAGAAGCTAGAGACAGCCGAGCGACGAGAACGACTCTCGGAGTCAGTCCGCAGCAGCGGCCAGCAAGGGGCGCGGTGGGCGGGGCGGCCGTTCGCGAGGCATTCGGGGTGCTCAAATTATTTCACCATCATCTATCAACATATCATCATCATCATCATCATCATCATCATCAACAACAACAACAAGAACAAAAACAGCTGGAAAGAAAGAAAGAAAGGAAGAAAGAAAGAAAGAAAGAAAGAAAGAAAGAAAGAAAGAAAGAGAAAGAAAGAAGAAAGAAAGAGAGAAAGAAGGGAATGCGGGGGAGACAAGTGCAGAGCGCGGTGCAGTCCGTGCAGCATCCAGGCCAAGGCAGCCCCCCCCCCCTCCCCCCCCCCCCCCCGGCCGGTATTGGCGGATGCAGGTGTGGAGGTGGTGCAGTGCCTCGCAGTGCAGTGCCTCGCGCTGCCGGCCGCCAAGCCGGCGTGCTCGCCTATTTGCTCCCACTTTTCTTTCCCGCCTCGAACCGCTATGCTCTCCTCGCGGCCCACGCCGAAAACGACTCTCGTTTTCGCTCGAGGTTATCGGATCCGTTCAAGAGGAAAAAGAACGGACAGGAAAAATGGAAAACACAAACATGGCACCTGGCAATTCCTCTATGTTTTTCAAATATTTTTGTGTCAAAACAAAGTATTTTTAAAAAACCCTGTTGTTTTCTTTTTAACTTGAGAGACGTGAGTCGTATTCTAATTGGCCGGACCTGCCCACGCCGGCCATTCACAATGCGGCGCCCTCCTCACACTGCCCTGGAGGCTTAGCAGGTGGCGTGGCGCGGCGTGAGATTTTTCAATGGAATCGGAAACAATTGGCGGTTGGAGGACAACCTTGTCCGGCAGGCCGCAGCGGTAACCTTTAGTCCACGGAGCAGACGTCGAGCACGGAGCAACGCGGAGCGCACCGATCAAGGGAAGGGGGCCGGCGTGGCCGAGCGGTGCAGAGCGTTCGGAGACAGCGGTCGTGTGTGTCGGTGCCCTTGTCCACTCGTAATGAGAGACGCACACACACACACACACACACACACACGGACGCGCACACCTATACACGCACACACGCAATACATGGACACTTCGACATCTCCGATACATTTCATAAATACCAGGTGAGCGCGGACAGTCGTACGTTTTCTCAGCAAGTAGCGCTGCCAAACAACAAACAACGCACTCAGTGGAGTAAGGCCGTCGTTCGTGTTAACCTGAACCTCATGGGTGAACAGTTTCAACGCCAGCGCACTGCGAAAATGTTGATTCTCACTTATTGGCTCCCACGGATTCAAGGCCAATTTTCCTCACAGGAATGTTGTCAAACAAACCAGTTGATGACATTGTTGTCAAAAATTATAGGGGTTTTGATGTAAATGTCGTTCAATATTTTAAAGGGACAACAAATGTTTCCAGTGCTATCATGGAAAATCGACACGTGCGGTTTTCTTTTAAAGTTTGGCTGTTTCCCGCATTTCACTGGTAAAACTAAAGCGTAGCATTACCCACTGTTTTCAAGCGTAATCAGGTTACGCTTGAAATCAAGCGTAACAGGCTCATCCGCCAAGATTCCCCCTATCTAAATGCATGGGCAATTTCTAGTCTATGTTGATTTTCAAGCGTAACGTCTTCAAGCAAAAATTTCCATGCTATACTCAACATAGACACGTTACGCTTTACTTTTACCAGTGTTCTGTTTCCCTGCATTTCTTGTCCGTCTCTCGTACGGGCAGGTCTCGTCGGGTGTCACAGCGTCACACAGGACTCGGCTCACATCACCTCGACGAACGCTCAAACGTCCACTTCCTCACCCCCCCCTCTCTCTCTCTCTCTCTCTCTCTCTCTCTCTCTCTCTCTCTCTCTCTCTCGGGATGAATGCCTTTTCTCGGCAAGTGCGGCGTCTTGTCTGAGAAAAGAGTTTCACAACAATTTCGTAACGGGAGTAGCCCCGCACCTAGGATGGCCTGGACCGACAGCTAGCTGCAGCTGCACCAGTGCGTGTGTGTGTGCGCGCGCGCTTGTGTGTGTGTGTGTGTGTTAGTGCGTTCGTGTGCGTGAGCAAAGCGCATGTGTGCGTTAGGCCCTTCATGCTTGGCGGCCTCTTCATGAGCATGAAGGGCTTAACACACACAACACACACACACACACACACACACACACACTCGCACGCACACATAGGCAGCGGCTTGACCCCAGTCTCGTACTCTGCGCTCCACTCTACTCGCTGAGGGGCAATTGTCGCGGTCCTCGAGTCC